TCACTGTAAAGGCGGTAGATGCTACTGTAAAGGCGGTAGATGCCACTGTAAAGGCGGTAGATGTCACTGTAAAGGCAGTAGATGTCACTGTAAAGGCGGTAGATGTCACTGTAAAGGCGGTCGATGTCACTGTAAAGGCGGTAGATGCCACTGTAAAGGCGGTAGATGTCACTGTAAAGGCGGTAGATGTCACTGTAAAGGCGGTAGATGTCACTGTAAAGGCGGTAGATGTCACTGTAAAGGCGGTAGATGTCACTGTAAAGGCGGTAGATGCCACTGTAAAGGCGGTAGATGTCACCGTAAAGGCGGTAGATGTCACCGTAAAGGCGGTAGATGTCACCGTAAAGGCGGTAGATGGCACCGTAAAGGCGGTAGATGGCACCGTAAAGGCGGTAGATGTTACTGTAAAGGCGGTAGATGTCACTGTAAAGGCGGTAGATGCCACTGTAAAGGCGGTAGATGCCACTGTAAAGGCGGTAGATGTCACTGTAAAGGCGGTAGATGTCACTGTAAAGGCGGTAGATGTCACTGTAAAGGTGGTAGATGTCACTGTAAAGGCGGTAGATGCCACTGTAAAGGCGGTAGATGTCACTGTAAAGGCGGTAGATGTCACTGTAAAGGCGGTAGATGTCACTGTAAAGGCGGTAGATGTCACTGTAAAGGCGGTAGATGTCACTGTAAAGGCGGTAGATGCCACTGTAAAGGCGGTAGATGTCACTGTAAAGGCGGTAGATGTCACTGTAAAGGCGGTAGATGTCACTGTAAAGGCGGTAGATGTCACTGTAAAGGCGGTAGATGTCACTGTAAAGGCGGTAGATGCTACTGTAAAGGCGGTAGATGTCACTGTAAAGGCGGTAGATGTCACTGTAAAGGCGGTAGATGTCACTGTAAAGGCGGTAGATGTCACTGTAAAGGCGGTAGATGCCACTGTAAAGGCGGTAGATGCTACTGTAAAGGCGGTAGATGTCACTGTAAAGGCGGTAGATGTCACTGTAAAGGCGGTAGATGTCACTGTAAAGGCGGTAGATGTTACTGTAAAGGCGGTCGATGTCACTGTAAAGGCGGTAGATGCCACTGTAAAGGCGGTAGATGCCACTGTAAAGGCGGTAGATGTCACTGTAAAGGCGGTAGATGTCACTGTAAAGGCGGTAGATGTCACTGTAAAGGCGGTAGATGTCACTGTAAAGGCGGTAGATGTCACTGTAAAGGCGGTAGATGCCACTGTAAAGGCGGTAGATGTCACCGTAAAGGCGGTAGATGTCACCGTAAAGGCGGTAGATGTCACCGTAAAGGCGGTAGATGTCACTGTAAAGGCGGTAGATGTCACTGTAAAGGCGGTAGATGCTACTGTAAAGGCGGTAGATGTCACTGTAAAGGCGGTAGATGCTACTGTAAAGGCGGTAGATGCCACTGTAAAGGCGGTAGAAGTCACTGTAAAGGCGGTAGATGTCACTGTAAAGGCGGTAGATGTCACTGTAAAGGCGGTAGATGTCACTGTAAAGGCGGTAGATGCCACTGTAAAGGCGGTAGATGTCACTGTAAAGGCGGTAGATGCCACTGTAAAGGCGGTAGATGTCACTGTAAAGGCGGTAGATGTCACTGTAAAGGCGGTAGATGCCACTGTAAAGGCGGTAGATGTCACTGTAAAGGCGGTAGATGTCACTGTAAAGGCGGTAGATGCCACTGTAAAGGCGGTAGATGCCACTTTAAAGGCGGTAGATGCCACTGTAAAGGCGGTAGATGCTACTGTAAAGTCGGTAGATGTCACTGTAAAGGCGGTAGATGTCACTGTAAAGGCGGTAGATGTCACTGTAAAGGCGGTAGATGTCACTGTAAAGGCGGTAGATGTCACTGTAAAGGCGGTAGATGTCACTGTAAAGGCGGTAGATGCCACTGTAAAGGCGGTAGATGTCACTGTAAAGGCGGTAGATGCCACTGTAAAGGCGGTAGATGCCACTGTAAAGGCGGTAGATGCCACTGTAAAGGCGGTAGATGCCACTGTAAAGTCGGTAGATGTCACTGTAAAGGCGGTAGATGTCACTGTAAAGGCGGTAGATGTCACTGTAAAGGCGGTAGATGTCACTGTAAAGGCGGTAGATGTCACTGTAAAGGCGGTAGATGCCACTGTAAAGGCGGTAGATGTCACTGTAAAGGCGGTAGATGCCACTGTAAAGGCGGTAGATGCCACTGTAAAGGCGGTAGATGCCACTGTAAAGGCGGTAGATGCCACTGTAAAGGCGGTAGATGCCACTGTAAAGGCGGTAGATGCTACTGTAAAGTCGGTAGATGTCACTGTAAAGGCGGTAGATGCCACTGTAAAGGCGGTAGATGCCACTGTAAAGGCGGTAGATGCCACTGTAAAGGCGGTAGATGCCACTGTAAAGGCGGTAGATGCCACTGTAAAGGCGGTAGATGCCACTGTAAAGGCGGTAGTTGTCACTAAAGGCGGTAGATGCCACTGTAAAGGCGGTAGATGCCACTGTAACGGCGGTAGATGCCACTGTAAAGGCGGTAGATGTCACTGTAAAGGCGGTAGATGCCACTGTAAAGGCGGTAGATGCCACTGTAAAGGCGGTAGATGCCACTGTAAAGGCGGTAGATGCCACTGTAAAGGCGGTAGATGCCACTGTAAAGGCGGTAGATGCTACTGTAAAGTTTTTCGTTACTGCTACTGTAGAGCAGGCGGTAGTGGGGGGCGGTATAGCAGCCTCGCCCCAGCCTGCCAATGTGCCACTGCTCGCAGTATGTAGTTTCTTTGTCAGCTGATATATATTTGTTATGTACAAATATCGCCCTCAGAGTTTAGTATTTCAAATTACTGTTTGCTTTGCTTGTGGAGTTTTTGGTGACTGAGCTGAGATACAACAGGATGCTGTTCTCATGAGGTGGTCTGGATTGAAACATCAACTCTCAAGTAGGCGTTAGCTGGGTGCAGAGCTGTGGACATGAGTCACCTGAGCAAGCCGTCCGCTTTCATAATGAGAGGCGTCCATTTCCACTAATCCGCTATGCACTCATGCACATGAATTTGCATTGCTTGGTGAGTCTATCGACCCCATGTTTGCCTGGTTTAACACAGCTTGAGTACATGCTTGGCTGCTTGCCCATGAAAAGCCTATCATAGCTTGGCATCATTGTGTGGATTTTAGTATGGTTTCCTGCCTCTGACTCACTGCCGATGGCATGTGGATGGAAATCTCTGGACAATAGTGCGATGTAATAATAGGGTTTTCCCTTCTTTTCTGGCAACAAAACTGAAACCTTTTACAAGGATTCATGTGTGCATTTACCAAAATACTTGTGGTCAAAATGCAAAAAACATACTATGATAACATATGCATTGTGCTTGAAACTGATTGGTCCACACCAGATGGCTTTCTTTTGAGCCCTTGACCCAATTGGTGCTAGACCAGAGGACGCCAAAAGGCGTTCAGCTCAAAGACAATGCACTATGAAAGTAATGAGAGCTCGGGGTAAGTATCTACATCATTAGACCTCCTTTGCCAGTACCAAAATATAATAATAGGGTATGTCCGTGTGTGTGTGTGTGTGTGCGAGTCGATGTGTGTGCGTGCGTGGGGTGTGTGTGTAGACAACTAATATTTACAAATTTAGTTTGTCAATTTGAAAATAATAATGTGTCTTAAGTCCATGTGTGCGTACGAGTCGACGTGCATGTGTTTAAGTCGATGTGTGTGTGAGTCGATGTACATGTGTGTGTATGTGTACGTGGACGTCCATGTGTGTGTGTGTGCAAGTCGATGTGTCTGTGTGTGTACGTCGATGTGTGTGTCCGAGTCGCTGTATGTGTGTACGTCCATATGTGTGTGTAACTCCATGTGTGTGTATATCTATAGTTGATATATATGTGTGTGAGTTTCTGTGTGTGTGTGCAAGTCGATGTGTGTGTGTGGGTCGATGTATGTGTGTAAGTCTGTGTATATGGGTCCATGTGTGCGTGTAAGTTGATGTGTGTGCGTACGTCAATGTGTGTGAGTCCATGTGTGTGTAACTCCATGTGTGTCTATCTAAAGTCGATGTCTGTGTGTGGGTCCATATGTGTGTGTGTGTAAGTCGATGTGTGTGCGTGGGTCCATGTTTGTGTGTAAGTCCATGTGTGTGTGAGTCGCTGTATGTGTGTGTGTGAGTCGCTGTATGTGTGTACGTCGATTTGTGTGTGTAACTCCATGTGTGTATATCTAAAGTCCATTTCTGTGTGTGTGAGGCCATATCTGTGTGTCTGGTTTTTTCGCCCGGGCAACGCCGAGTACTTTAGTTATATATAAAAGCAAACTAAGCACATCTCATATTCTTGGTTCTTTTGGCAAAGTCACCTAGAAGGGAAACAATAGTATTTTCTTGTTTAATATTTTTGTTATTTTATTGTTTCCCTTCTACGTGACTTTGCCGAAAGAACCAAGAATATGTATTCCTGCAGTCACGAAAGCTTCAAATCAAAATTTAAGCACATCTCCTTTTTCTAAATCTGCACATGTACATAGCAAATATATTCTGGTCCATGACCTTGTTGCAAATGGTGGGCAACCTGCAAGACCACATGCGGTCCATGAAGTTCCTCATTGTGGCCTAGTATATTTAGGCTTATGTGCGTACACTAGCACGATTTTCAAGTTTGTGGCCCATGTGGCTGTTCATGTAGCCCACAAGCTAGTCTAGGTTGCTCATTGCTGCATTATTGGCTTACCAGATCAATAATATTGCGCATCATTTAAGAAAGCAAACTGGACCAGTTTTGACATTTTGGATCTCATCACAGGTTTCAACCTGAGACTCCAGAAGGTTGAAACCAGCTGACTGAATTTTGCCTATGAGAAGTTTTACTGTACTTGTTAACCAGCGGAACAAGAGAGAACACAGAGATGCAAATAAAAAAAATCTGTATTCAGTGGTCTTGTGTTTAAGGACAAAATGGGCAGGTGTATAATTTGTTTACATTTTGTATTTAAACTAACGAGAGACCTTTCTAATTTTATTTTTAGAATGACTCTTCATCTTCAAAAGATGCTTTTCCCCATGCTATTTTGCGTTCTTCTTGGAGCTCTTCATGTCACTGCACAAGGTAAGAGGTTTTGTTACCGTTTTAGTCATTCAATTGTATTTTGTGCATATATAAAATAGGACAGCATGAAACATCTTGGCCAATTGATGTACGAACAAAGTTGAGTTCTCTATTTGTTTCCTGCACTAGGGTGTGGCCTGATTGGTAATAACTAAAATTGTTGCAATTTTTACAATTTATAATAATTTACAGCCCCTTTTTTTAATCCACGGTGAGATGGTCATGCCATGTTGGTCATGGAAATTATTTGACCATACTTCGCTATTACCGTCGGTGTGGGTTGGTGAAGGGGATTGCCCGGGACTAGTAAAGATATCACTCGCCATTGATAGTAGCTGTGGCCAGGAATCCTATTCAGGTCATCACTACGTTTGTTGTACAGTGCTCCGTCCCAATGAGCCCCGCTCAACTAAAAAAACCCCAATAATGTTTCAACACTGAAGAGCGTTCCTTGAGAAGTTCGATTTTATGTGAATACGGTGCCGATAATTGCTACGTGTTTAGTGTGGAAAACAAGACTATATTTTAATGAGAGTGAATTTCAGGTAATAAACTGGTTTCGACATTCATCTGAGAGTCTCCTGAAGGAATGTGTAGACTTTGGGTCAGTTATGTATTTATTATGGGTGGTGGCTTTGTGTAAGTTCAGTGTAAGTGTGCATATATGTATGATCCTGGTGAGTACATTCAGATCTATTTGTAGTAATCTGGTTAGATAGTGGTGTGGCAGAGTGCTTGGTTAAGAATTTAATTCATGATCATCTCATTTGTGAGTTTACTGCCCATCCATCACTTCAGTTTTGATCAAATAAATACCACATTGGTGCTATGCAGAGACCACCTGCAATGTGAACATGACTCATTATGAATTTGTCTCATGGCACTACACTAAGTGTCTCATGCTGATAATATAATCACGTTTCAGAATGTGCGCCCTTGTAAGTTGCACTGATTCCCAGCTATGAAACTGCTGAGTGGTCAAAGTATTGCCAGTTGCTGTTTTAAATTAATTGATTAATTGTGATGTAGATGCATACATTTAATAGTGTGTTTGTTTCATCAGCTGGATGTGGACCACCACCAAGAGTAAACAATGGACGACCCGATTCGACGAATACATTTTTTCCTGTGAATGATATGGTGCGGTACCAGTGCAATTCTGGTTACGCTGCAACAAAAAACTCTTCATTACGTCTGCAGTGCGTGGCCAATGGGACTTGGGGAGAGCTAAACTACTGGTGCGAGCGTAAGTATTGTTCATTTTACCTTGACATCGCGGGCTACTCCTTGCTGGTCTACTTTACCACACCAGGAGGATTTCAGTGCAACCATGGATGAATTAATAAGGCCCAGCATCGACGAGCATAAGCTACGTGGAGCTTAATCCCCAAAACAGAATGGTTAGACGTTTTGGATGAGCTACAGATTAATACTGATTATACAAAAGCAGCAGGAGTCATGGGAGTGGCATGGAACAGTGGCATGGATTGGTTGTATATGCTGATGAGCACGTATGAAAGCATAGCATGTTAGTGCTTATTTGTTGCATACTGAATAATTCCTTTTTGGAATGTTGATTAAAAGGATGCATTACCAAATTGGAAGTAAAGCCGGACTTAAAACTAGTAAATATTTTGTTCCAAAAACGGTATAATTTGTTTATTTTATAGCTTGTGAAGTTTGCATTACCCCATAATCATTTTGGTATAAATGGTATGCTTTGAACTTCACAACACAACCACATCGATGTATGGGGATTGCTATGAAGCATGTGTATTTTTCTTGCTTAATGCGAGTTCTTTTATAATTGCAGGTAAGACATGTTCTCCAAAACCTATTGACCAAGGCTCTTACACTGGCGGAATCTCTTTTGGAGATACGATTACGTATACGTGTGATGATGGGTAAGTATTATACTTTTTGCATCACATTTGCTTTGCCTTGGTTATCTTATTGACTATCCCATTTTTATGTTTTTTTAATTTAAAACAATTGTTCTAAAAAGTAGCCCGTTAAACTGGTACCTTAGATTCTGGGTTCGAATCCAGGCAGCCGGCTGTGATTAAACTGGCTACTCTACGTGTAGTGAGTTAGTTGTTAGTCACAGACTGATCACCAATAGCTTTACGGAAAACCATAACTAAATATGCTTCCATACTTAATTTGGGTAGAATTCGGCTCCCAGAATAAAAAAATATATAAATTTTACTGTAGTGACTAGTCTCACTCTCAGTAGCAGAGCGAATGGAAAAGTACACCATCGCCCCCAACTGTGTCGACCAGGGGACAATTGAAGGGATTTTACCTTTTCTAATATGCATTTCCATGAACCTTTTTCTAACATGGAGGGTTACATTTCTCTGTGAGAGATCTGAATGGATACTTCATTCCATTACATGATACATACTAATAGAGGAATTGTGATAAGTTTGGGAAAATATGTCAAAAGAAAATAGTTCTGAGGCATAAAAATTTGTGAACAGGATGCATATCATTTGAGGCCTGGAGCATGGTTTCCTGTTTTGTTGTTCTGCAGGTATGCGCTCACAGGAAAAACATACCAACTAACATGCATGGCTGATGGGACTTGGAATCCAGTGGATCCACCAGATTGCCAGCGTATGTGACACCATTTACAGCTGTTTATTGTTCACCCGTGCATTTGTACTTAAGATGGCTGTTATTACAGTTTAATCCAAAGTGTAATTTTACTTGGTTGTAAAAAAAACACTTTAAGGAGAAGTCTTGTATAATGTCTGAGGCAAGTAGCAATTATTTTAAAGTGTTTTGGTGAATGTAGCATCTTAAAAGATAAAAAAACGAGCAGCATCTTCCTTTAAGCTGGGCATAGCATTCTGCCATCCTTATTTATCAACAGATGAATTGCACCCATTTTGTATGTATTCCCTTTACGTCTTACACCATATAAGCAAGAACTTAGAAATCAAGTAATGTAGGCCTCCAATTTGTATTCAAGTAATATCTTCCACCTGCCACAAGGATTGGAAATTAAGTCCATGCTGTAATTTACTTTCGGTCACGTTAACTTCGGCTTTAATGCTTTTTATGTAACCTTTGAGTTTAATAAATTAACCCATGACCTTTAAAAAATCATGCTTATTTATTCTGCTCTGATACAAAAATCCTTGCGTTTTTCATTGAAAATTGAATAAGCAATTGTTTGTTTTTGTCTGCAATGTTCACATCAATGTATTGTTTTTGTTTACAGCTGTCTCGTGTCCTGAGATAGATCTTACTGAGAAATTGGTGTTTCAGCTATCACTCCAATATCAATACGGATCAAGGGTTACTTATAGTTGTGAGGCTGGCTTCTCGCTTATAGGAGACTCATTTCGGGACTGCTTGGAGAGTGGCAAATGGTCTGGATCCAAGCCCATCTGTAAAGGTATGGGACCACACGGCTGCCTTGCCTCATTTACTGGCTAGAAAGCATCTACAGTTACATGGATTAGAATATAGTTTCAGTTTAGTTTCAGTTTATTTATTTTGGTATAGCCCTGTGAGCCATTCGGCTCTTGTATCAGGTGCAACCACAACAAACAAAAACACGAACAAGAAAAACATCTTAAAGTGACTATGTGACTGCGCAAACAGAAAATCCATGAAAAAACACAGCAAAGTATTCCTGAAAAAGCACCGTACACCAACGCTATACAGTGAGGGGAAAAAAGTATTTGATCCCCTGCTGATTTTGTACGTTTACCCACTGACAAAGAAATCAGTCTTTAATTTTAATGGTAGGTTTATTTGAACAGAGACAGAATAACACAAAAAAACAGAAAAACGCATGTCATAAATGTTATAAATTGATTTGCATTTTAATGAGAGAAATAAGTATTTCAACCCCTCTCAATCAGAGAGATTTTTGGCTCCCAGGTGTCTTTTATACAGGTAACGAGCTGAGATTAGGAGCACACTCTTAAAGGGAGTGCTCCTAATCTCAGCTTGTTACCTGTATAAAAGGCACCTGTCCACAGAAGCAATCAATCAATCAGATTCCAAACTCTCCACCATGGCCAAGACCAAAGAGCTGTCCAAGGATGTCGGGGACAAGATTGTAGACCTACACAAGGCTGGAATGGGCTACAAGACCATTGCCAAGCAGCTTGGTGAGAAGGTGACAACAGTTGGTGCGATTATTCACAAATGGAAGAAACTCAAGAACTGTCAACCTCCCTCGGCCTGGGGCTCCATGCAAGATCTCACCTCGTGGAGTTGCAATGATCATGAGAACGGTGAGGAATCAGCCCAGAACTACACAGGAAGATCTTGTCAATGATCTCAAGGCAGCTGGGACCATAGTCACCAAGAAAACAATTGGTAACACACTTCGCCTTGAAGGACTGAAATCCTGCAGCGCCCGCAAGGTCCCCCTGCTCAAGAAAGCACATATCCATGCCCGTTTGAAGTTTGCCAATGAACAACTGAATGATTCAGAGGATAACTGGGTCAAAGTGTTGTGGTCACATGAGACCAAAATGGAGCTCTTTGGCATCAACTCAACTCGCCGTGTTTGGAGGAGGAGGAATGCTGCCTATGACCCCAAGAACACCATCCCCACTGTCAAACATGGAGGTGGAAACATGCTTTGGGGGTGTTTTTCTGCTAAGGGGACAGGACAGCTTCACCGCATCAAAGGGACGATGGACGGGGCCATGTACCGTCAGATCTTGGGTGAGAACCTCCTTCCCTCGGCCAGGGCATTGAAAATGGGTTGTGGATGGGTATTCCAGCATGTCAATGACCCAAAACACACGGCCAAGGCAACAGGAGTGGCTCAAGAAGAAGCACATTAAGGTCCTGGAGTGGCCTAGCCAGTCTCCAGACCTAATCCCATAGAAAATGTGGATGGAGCTGAAGGTTCGAGTTGCCAAACGTCAGCCTCGAAACCTTAATGACTTGGAGAAGATCTGCAAAGAGGAGTGGGACAAAATCCCTCCTGAGATGTGTGCAAACCTGGTGGCCAACTACAAGAAACGTCTGACCTCTGTGATTGCCAACAAGGGTTTTGCCGACCAGTACTAAGTCATGTTTTGCAGAGGGGTCAAATACTTATGTCCCTCATTAAAATGCAAATCAATTTATAACATTTTTGACATGCGTTTTTCTGGATTTTGTTGTTGTTATTCTGTCTCTCACTGTTCAAATAAACCTACCATTAAAATTATAGACTGATCATTTCTTTGTCAGTGGGCAAACGTACAAAATCAGCAGGGGATCAAATACTTTTTTCCCTCACTGTATAGGCTGGTAAATAACCAGCAAGAGTTTAGTTTTTAATGCATTTGAAATGTAACAATGTTTTCGTTAGCCTGCGTCACGTTGAAGTCGATCTGAATTCCAGTTTTCTCGCGTCAACATACAAAATCATGGTGGTGGAAAGCTGCATATGAGACTCCTTTTCCTGTACTCTGCTTTAGCAAAGTTTCTCTTCCCGACCAATGGAAGTCCCTCTGGCTTTGGAGACTCGTGCCTCACTGAGCTTTTCCTTGCACCCATCGGGTTAGTTCGATAAATAGCTTCTGTGGTGCCTTTTCTACATGTATTCATGGGAGTGGTGGCAGAGTATATGGTACACAGCACATCAATCCTTACCACCGAAGTTTGAGTCTATCCATGAAGTGCTACTATATTAAACTATCTTGTCTCCCCTAGGTCAACATGGCTAAAAATGAGTGATGTAGTAAATACTAAGCATCTATGGTCGTGACCACGTCACTCTCCTCGAGTGCCATACTGCCAATAATAGGTGCATACTAAGAGCCATTGTCCCAGATGTCTGGCGAAAAGGATAGTTTATTTCGTGTGCTCATGTATTTGTATTATTTGTGTGTGTGTGCGCATGCTTTCTTTAAGATGTTAAGTGCAAGACACCTCAATGGGACATCAGCCACGGCCAAGCGATGGGTGAACGTAAAGAAGCTTACAAGTACAACGATATTGTGAGATACGAATGTTCAGCAAGATATCGGGCTGAACCAAGTGAAATCCACTGCACCGAGAGCAACGAGTGGTCTGCCACGGTCAACTGTGTCTGTAAGTACTTGTGCTCCTTTTGAGTAGAACAGTTACTTTTATTCCTTTGTCTCCACAATACAACAGTTGTCATGTTACGTGTGTTATTGTACAGGTGTGTTGTGATTGGTTGATGACTTTTCTGAAATAGAGCTTTGTTAATAAACAATTTTAGAGTGCGCATATATTTCCTGAACAGGACGCATTGTTGGATTGTGAGAACTCTGGAGTTGCCAGGACAGGGCTCAAAGTCCCTCCACATGCCAACCTGAACAGTTTGGCATGTGAGGTTTGCATTCTGCGCATGTGTGCAGTGGGAGAGTCCCAGATAGTTGGTGCATGTACAGGGAAGTGCTGCTCAGCCAGGACAGTCCTGGTTATGGGTACAATAGACAGATAATTATTATTAGTCATGTTGTTTTACTAAAGTCAATCAAGTGAGAAGTGTGGAGAGGTATGGCAGGAAACCTTGAAAGAGCTCAGTGTCACAAAAGCAATTTTATACTGTATCCTTGATGTCAAAATGCAAAATTTGAATGAAGCCATATGGCCACACCTAATGCCAAGGAGAGCACGTGACCAGTTGTTTTAGAGCTGCTATAGTTTGTTTGTTGAGGTGTACTTCTGATGTCTCGAGGTAAGGATGGCGTTGCAGTAATTTAAGCGAGTGTGTACAATCCTAAAATCAGAGTTTTGCTGTGGCAAAAATTGGGCAAATGTGCCATAGGCCCCTAAAGTGGTGGTGGCAATGTCTTTATTTAGTTGATGACGTGGTTGTCGAGTGATAATTGAGAGTTAAAGGTGATGCTGTTGCTAGAAAAATAACTATAGATTTATTAGAGTTTAATAGGAGGTGGCTTGACCAAAACCAGTGTTGTAAGGTTGAGCTACAATTTGCAAGGTTGAGTGGGCCTCAGAATATTAGAGTTGGAGTATCATTGAGTGTCATTGGCATAGGTATCGTGGTTTGTGTCATGACTATCAATGAGGCGACCAACTGGGGAGATGAAAATTGAAAAAATAAAGGATCCAGGACCGATCCCAGAGGAGGGGACATCTGCAGTGGATATGATTATGGGTTGAGGACTTGCGAACCTTGGTATAGGACCTTCTGTCAGAGATACTATGTGACCCACTGTATAGTCGTGCCCCGAAATCAGATTCTAAGCATTCCAATTAAATATTGTAGGCCAACTATCGACTCTGGTTCCATCATTGCTCTAAAGGCTATGATGTCAGTGATCTGGACAAAAGCAGTCTCGGTAGAGTGGGCTGGGTGGTAGACAGAAGGGGACAGAAATTGGGGGATGAAGTAATGTAATTCTGAAAAGGGTGAGGCACTGCAGGAGTTTGGAGATGGTTGATCATTTGGTAATAGAGCATTAGTTTGCAGTGTCCTCGGTCAGAGCTCGGTTACTTTAGGAGAGGTGGCAATTTGGCCAGTGTAAGTAATAGACTGACTAGTCGGCGGCATTAGCAACATGAAATTACATATATTCTATAGTTTATCATAATATCATGCTGGTCAGTGTAGGTTGGTGAAGATGCCCAATATGGGAACACAACACCACTCATGCAAGGTGTAATCATATTCTAGTGCATTCCATTGTTAATGACTGGCATAGCTACAAATATTACTCTGCTTACAGTGCATTATAAGCACAATTACAACATGTATTTGAAATAAATGTTATTGTTCAGTGAGCTGAATATATTTTTAAAATTAGATTGGAGAAACAACAACAAAGATAAATACTGAAAGTACTCACCATCTCAGGTTTGCTGAGATTGTGATTACTTTGACCACGCAATCTTTGGAGAGACACAACTGGAAAACAAAACAGTTTGCCATGTCTAGGGCATAGCAAACATGGCTCAAAATAATGAAATAGAGACGAGCAAAAACAGAATGGAGTGCTTTTTGAAACAAACTAAAATTATAATGAAAAGCGGCATACCAGTTTGCCTTAAGAAGAACATGTTCAATCCGTACACATTTTCTGCCTTGACAAATTCACCATAACGGACTGACAAAGAACGTGGACCAATAGCTGAACATATCCAGGATCATGGATAGATGTATGTTAGGAACTACTGAGAGACAGGAAGAGGAAGACATGGATCAGAGATCAAACGTTTAAATCACAATGTTAACTGTTAAAGTTGGCTTGAGCTTGTTCTTCTTTGGTACTCTGTCTTAATGGCAGGTCCTTTGTTGCATCTTCTCCATTCTCTGTTCTGTCTTTATTTCTACAAATGACCCTTCAGGTCCAAAATCACAATCCTTGGCCTCCCTCTGGTTCTTTCCCCTTCCCATTATTCATTCTTAATGTCCGTTTTCATTAAACTCTCCTACCAGTGTCCAATCGAGATCTTGTTCCTCATGGCTTGTGTTATCACTCTTTTATTGGTGCCAGTCAGAATTTATTTTCCGGTCATCTTCTTTATCAAGCTTTCTTTCTGCATCTTTTTCCATATCCACATCGCAAACGCTTCCAACCGCGTTACTTCATCGTTTCTCATCCACATTTCTGGTCCATATAAAAAGCTACACTCCACTATTATCTTGTCCAGGACACTTCTATAAAAGGCGTGATTGCCATTTGAGACTGGTGACAATAGTAACTGAAGGATGGAACATGACTGAGAGGCTCATGATTCTAGAGATGGAGTGACGAGATCGGCTCATGCACAGAAGGAAGATCGATTATGAAATGGCAGGACCATGAGGCTAAGCAACTGCAAAGCCTTCATTCAGCAGTGGCAATATGATGAAACAGAGATCGCTGCATTCAGTGTTGTGTGTTATTAGCTGGCAGCAACACTGGGGTGAGTTAAACGTGATTGCCATAAGTAGTGCATTTAAAATTTACATCACTGTGTGTGATGGTTTCAATCTGCATGGGAAAAAAATACCTTCCCCTCCGTGTATTAGAGCGCTGGCTTTAATGGGTCAATCGTAGGAAAACTTTTTTTTTCGTACAGAGCTGAAGTTGACATTGAGCACTTAAAATCTCAACAGGAGTAAGAGCCCAGCAGTGTAGGAAAGGCCAGAAATAAAGTATGAACCGTTTTCTCTGCTGCAGTGACTGGCTGCCACAGCCCTCCTCTGATTGGCAATGGTGACGTGGTGCAACCGAAGTCGGAGTATGCCATGGGTGACTCGGCGTCCTACAAATGTCGCAAAGGCTATCGGTTAGAGGGCAGTGAAACGGCTGTTTGTAGGGAAAACTATCAGTGGACACAGCCTCCAACGTGTGCATGTAAGTAAATGAACTCTTATTAGGGATGAGTTTCGGGTTAAGAAATTTAGAATAAAAATGTTTAAAGGACATTTTCATGTAATTTATTTTTGAACCGGTGCATTATACATAACAACCGTGCCATATGAGAAACCTGCGCTAACCTGATACCACGTGATACCACGTGATACCACGTGATACCACGTGATACCACGTGATACCACGTGATACCACGTGATACCACGTGATACCACGTGATACCACGTGATACCACGTGATACCACGTGATACCACGTGATACCACGTGATACCACGTGATACCACGTGATACCACGTGATACCACGTGATACCACGTGATACCACGTGATACCACGTGATACCACGTGATACCACGTGATACCACGTGATACCACGTGATACCACGTGATACCACGTGATACCACGTGATACCACGTGATACCACGTGGCATCTGATCCAAAATATTGTAACTGGGCCAGATTCAATTAAATCGGAAATCCATCACTATCACCGATGAACTGCATGTCTATTCATCAGGTAATTCATCTAATTGCAAAGAATTGAAAGTTTTTGCGCAAGTTTTGTTCCTCCATTAAACTTGCAGTGATCTTGAATTTGGAGCTTTTGTGACTGCAGGAATTATTCTTTGTTTTTTTTTCGGTAAAGTCACGTATAAATAATAAAATAACATAATAGTCTACGACGTTTCGATTGCAACACAAGCAATCATCATCAGGTACAGAAGAGCTAAATTTACGAGAGAGAGGAGACACATAACCGCAGATATATATACAGACACAGATACAACAGGGGATACAGAGAGAGAGAAACGTGGGAGCACACTAAATCAAACAGGTTTTAGCAAGATTTGGAAACCATATAACGCAACACAGACGGTCGGTCAAAACACAATTAACGCAAGGTCAGGTTGATTACGTTATTTCAAAGATTGCTAAATTGTAAGATAAGGGTGAAATTTAAAATCTAAAAAATATACAGACCGCATACACATATATAGACATCCAAGCAGAACGAGTTAGCACGCAGACACGTGGAGAGAGACAGGCACACAGTGAAGCATCATCTCTGTGTCAAGGTTTTAAATAGACAGAGAGGGCGGGGCTGAGATGTTTGTAAAGGGGCAACAAACATCTCAACCCCGCCCTCTCTGTCTATTTAAAACCTTGACACAGAGATGATGCTTCACTGTGTGCCTGTCTCTCTCCACGTGTCTGCGTGCTAACTCGTTCTGCTTGGATGTCTATATATGTGTATGCGGTCTGTATATTTTTTAGATTTTAAATTTCACACTTAACTTACAATTTAGCAATCTTTGAAATAACTTAATCAACCTGACCTTGCGTTAATTGTGTTTTGACCGACCGTCTGTGTTGCGTTATATGGTTTACAAATCTTGCTAAAACCTGTTTGATTTAGTGTGCTCCCACGTTTCTCTCTCTCTGTATCCCCTGTTGTATCTGTGTCTGTATATATATCTGCGGTTATGTGTCTCCTCTCTCTCGTAAATTTAGCTCTTCTGTACCTGATGATGATTGCTTGTGTTGCAATCGAAACGTCGTACACTATGTTATTTTATTATTTCTACGTGACTTTACCGAAAAAAACAAATAATAATTGCAGTGATCTTGCTAAACTGACAGTGTGTGAGCTGAAAATGATAGCTCCTTATTTTAACAAACCCAGAGTGGATTCTGGGATAATGAGTTGAATCGCATCAAAGTCCAATGTGAACCGATATACACGTAAACCATTAATATTCGCGAGTTTCATCATTGCTTTTGCACATTAGCCACAAATTATCTGCAAATTTGCCAAGTTCAGAAATTACACCACATTATGCAGTTGCACAGCAGCAAGCATCGCCCCCTACTGGCAGGGCTCTACTTCCAATTTGTATCGGGCAAGTGATGAGTCAGCTTGTGTCCTACGGGGCAGCTGGCACTGGATGGGGGGTGGTGGAATGTTAGGGGGGGGGCTCATTTCAAATGGTATTGAGATGCAATGTAGGACACTAAACAAATCATCATGACAAGAAGTTTCCGTATTGTTGTGACACATGGCAGCGGTGTGAATGGTCGGAGCGCGGAAGTCGCCCACGGGACACCACTCTCAGTCTGTCCTTGTCTGCTGCACAGTTTACACGCGACTGCTTTCCTTAGATTTGTTTTTAAATTGTGTTTGTTACCAGTAACGAAAAGGAGAGTTTAAATAAAACCGTATAATAGTAATTTATCCATTGATATTTGCACTTAAAAAAAATTCTGTTCATACTTATTAAAGGTAAGTTAAATCTAGATTTGATATAGATTTGAAACGTTTGTGACTGCTGGAATCCATACTCTCTGGTTCTTTCGGTAAAGTCACATTGGTATAAAATTCAATAAAAATAAATCACCACGTTTCGGGCGCAACACAAGCGTCCGTCATCAGCGCTAGGGGGAGAGAGAACGCGAAGCCGGGGGGGAGGGGGGGGGGAAGTTGGTGGGGCTGGAAGTGGGAGGCTGGGGAAGCTGGGGCTGCGGATATGATGGCAACAACCATAAACACCATAAGTTAAATAATAATCCTAGAGTGTTTTCATTAATATATACACATCGTTTATATATTTACATTTGAACTATATCTGTTTATGCCCCTAACCCTATTTTCCTCAAAAGCTTTCAGTATTAATATTCGTGAATTTAATATTCATGCCATTCTCTGGAAACGTCTCCCACGAAATATTAAGGGTTTACTGTACCAAGATCACACAGCGCTCATACGAGTTTATATATTGAAACATTGGCTTCTGTTTGAGAAGAAATCTTGATGCTCACCAAAACATGACCATACATGTCACCTAAGATCGCAACAACATAGCTTAGACCTGTGATATTCCTCAAGGAGGATATTATTATTTGTAATGCTCCAAACCCTTTTGCATTATTACTACACCGAGGGGAAAAAAGTATTTGATCCCCTGCTGATTTTGTACGTTTGCCCACTGACAAAGAAATGATCAGTCTATAATTTAATGGTAGGTTTATTTGAACAGTGAGAGACAGGATAACAACAACAAAAATCCAGAAAAACGCATGTCAAAAATGTTATAAATTGATTTGCATTTTAATGAGGGAAATAAGTATTTGACCCCCTCTCAATCAGATTTCTGGCTCCCAGGTGTCTTTTATACAGGTAACGAGCTGAGATTAGGAGCACACTCTTAAAGGGAGTGCTCCTAATCTCAGCTTGTTACTTGTATAAAAGGCACCTGTCCACAGAAGCAATCAATCAATCAGATTCCAAACTCTCCACCATGGCCAAGACCAAAGAGCTCTCCAAGGATGTCGGGGACAAGATTATAGACCTACACAAGGCTGGAATTGTCTACAAGACCATTGCCAAGCAGCTTGGTGAGAAGGTGACAACAGTTGGTGCGATTATTCGCAAATGGAAGAAACTCAAAAGAACTGTTAATCTCCCTCGGCCTGGGGCTCCATGCAAGATCTCACCTCGTGGAGTTGCAATGAGCATGAACATCTGAATGATTCAGAGGACAACTGGGTGAAAGTGTTGTGGTCAGATGAGACCAAAATGGAGCTCTTTGGCATCAACTCAACTCGCCGTGTTTGGAGGAGCAGGAATGCTGCCTATGACCCCAAGAATACCATCCCCACCATCAAACATGGAGGTGGAAACATTATGCTTTGGGGGTGTTTTTCTGCTAACGGGACAGGACAACTTCACCGCATCAAAGGGACGATGGACGGGGCCATGTACCGTCAAATCTTGGGTGAGAACCTCCTTCCCTCAGTCAGGGCATTGAAAATGGGTCGTGGATGGGTATTCCAGCATGACAATGACCCAAAACACACGGCCAAAGTAACAAAGGAGTGGCTCAAGAAGAAGCACATTAAGGTCCTGGAGTGGCCTAGCCAGTCTCCAGACCTTAATCCCATAGAAAATCTGTGGAGGGAGGTGAAGGTTCGAGTTGCCAAACGTCGGCCTCGAAACCTTAATGATTTGGAGAAGATCTGCAAAGAGGAGTGGGACAAAATCCCTCCTGAGATGTGTGGAAACCTGGTGGCCAACTACAAGAAACGTCTGACCTCTGTGATTGCCAACAAGGGTGTTGCCACCAAGTACTAAGTCATGTTTTGCAGAGGGGTCAAATACTTATTTCCCTCATTAAAATGCAAATCAATTTATAACATTTTTGACATGCGTTTTTCTGGATTTTGTTGTTGTTATTCTGTCTCTCACTGTTCAAATAGACCTACCATTAAAATTATAGACTGATCATTTCTTCGTCAGTGGGCAAACGTACAAAATCAGCAGGGGATCAAATACTTTTTTCCCTCACTGTATTTATATTTTCATGTGCCATGCAGCGGTCACATGTGGCCCTCCAGCCACAGTCATCAATGGCAAAATAAAGGAACAAGCAAAGACTCCGTATGCATATGGAGACAGAGTGTCATACATCTGCGATGACACTTACCATCTGGTGGGAAATGGTGAAATTACTTGCCAAAACAATGGGCAGTGGTCACCTTCACCTAGCTGTGCGTGTAAGTATTCGTGGTGTCCAGGAACATATGTATGGTTGGCTGTAGCACATTTTACCTGATCCATAAAACCTACGTGCTCCATTGCTCTCTCAATCACATTGCGCTGCAGTAGCTTTGATCAAAGCAAGCGTGGGCTCTACCTTGCGGTGTGTCCCGTCCTCCGCTTTACTCAAATGCTAAAGAATCCAGTTGTGTTATTGCGTGAGAAAGTTGCATTTCGTGATGAGCATTGTTAATTGCTTATCCCGAATTGCTGAAGTAATTTTTACATCGAGTTGAGCTGCACAGGCTGCAACAATGCGTTCCTTCTCAAGTTTCGTGAAGCACTCTTAACAAAATACAAGAATCGAGTTGCTCTGTGTACATATCAATAGGTGTATAGAATCTTTGAGGTTTTTTAAAAGCGTTTTTTCAACGTGAACCCACTGCATGTGCACAGTATTAACAGGTGCTTGGTGAATTGAGTCGGACATAATGATAAAATGTGGAGTGGACACCTACGGGCTCTGCCCATGGATCGTGATGATGACGATGAATGAATGACGCTGATGTATGAAACACAATTTTCGCCGTTTACATGTTTTGGGGGAGATTCTGTGTGTTCATGTGGATTTTTTCTATTTGGAATGTGTTGTAAAAAATATCCAGCAGTAATTCTCAAATGTTTTCGTTTTACACAGTAAGAACAACATCTCTTCCGCGCACGGAAGATCCGCTTCAGTGTAAGAAACTTCACATTTTCTGGGTTTCACGGATTCTGGATTCATATTAGTGTTGCCTTGATATAGTTTTGCACGATATGATGTCAGATGTCATGACATGACAATTATCGCGATATCTGTTTCCCATAATTTTGTAATTGTGTTTCACACTATTGTATTGTTTTTTAATCTTTCTGTACTTCCAGTATGAATAAAAATTACTTAAGTTCTTCAACTGCAGATCTCTCAACTTGAGGCTTTCAGAAGTCATAATCATTGCGACTTTAATATCTGCAGTATACAGTTCATAAGAATTTTGAACTAGGACCCATATATTTAAAGAGGGTCTTTGCCTAAACAATGTGGGTTCACCAGCATATATTCAAGCAAGCCTGCCTCTGCTGATGAGACTGACAAAGCGCACCCAGAGTTATTATATTGAATCGATGCATTATTCACTCGCCGAAGGCTGTCAGCCCGATGGGTTGTGTAAGTTTTATCTTATACTTTAAAGAAACAGATATATGAAGGAGATTTATTATATAGATTTATGTGTATTGCCTGCTTATCTATAATGCAGACACTGTCAGTTACAAGTAAACTAATTAAACCATTACATTAAATGTGAATTATTACTTATAATCACCATTCTCTCACTCATGGTTATTTCATACATTTTGTTGGGAAATATAATACGTAATACATATCAATTTAGCAACAATAATCATATACAGTAACAATATTTAGCAAAACGTATGGTACATTTATCGTAAAGCATATATTGTATATTACCTCGTATTTCCTTATCCGCAGCAGCCCTAATGTACACCACCAGTAAATAATTTTTCTGTGCTTATTTTAGCAATGGGACATCCACGAAAGCCACATCTAATCTGAAATTGAGCCTCGCTTCCAAATTCCATTGCTGAAGTCTACATATTTTATTGCATCGGTATACTATATTACAGTTCACTTAATAAAAAGTTTTGAAATAGTGCCTTCTATTTTAGAATAACTCTCTGTGCTTATACTAAGATTTGCAGTACCACAATGGGGCTTTACTTGTGACAGCAGGTTAAAATAACACATTTCAAGGATGGATTATCTGAAGTAAACCAGTTCAGGTTAGGCTTCGCACAAACACTTCCAGATCATTGCATTATCACTTTATATTTACACGTTTTTATGTTTTCAGGTTCGTGTGACAAACCCCCTGCGATTGAACACGGAGAAGGAAATGACAAATACAAGTCTGTATATGCTTGTGGATATACATTATCGTACAAGTGCAAGACATGTTACTTCCCAGTTCACTCTGAAATTACTTGCCAACAGAACGGGCAGTGGTCACATTCGCCTGGCTGTGTGTGTAAGTATATGCGGTGGCCCGGAACATGATGTATGGGTGGCTTGGTATATCACATTTCAGCCTTGTCCAAAAGCTTGCCCGGATGCATCTCTCCACTCTCTTGCTGATATTGTGCTCCAGCAGCTGTGATAAAAGCGAGCGTGGGCTATTCCTTGCGGGCGCCATGATATCTGTTTTTAACTCTCACCTTGTTAACAACCATGACAACTGCCTAAGTCTCAGATTATGGCAAGCATTTTAGGCCTTCAGCAGTAGATTGGTCATGGCTTATTTTGATATACTGCATAAAGTATTATGTTGTATTTGAATTGCATGCATACAAATATTGCAGTGCTTTTGAAATGTATATTTGATGTAAGCTAAATGTTCAACTCACCAGTGTCCCAACATTACGCTTGTATTTGGTGGGAGGTGCTGTCAAGAGGTGTGCTCATATGTAGATTTGAAGTTTTTGCGACTGCAGGGATCCATACTTTTGGTTCATTCGGTAAGGTCACGTAGGTATAAAATAAATTAAATCACGAGGTTTCGATTGCAACGCAAGCAATCATCAGGTGGGAAAACCGCAGCAATTTTTTTTTTGCTGAAGTGGGTGAGAGAGGTAAGAAAGGGGGAGGATATATAAACATAGACATAACTTCAACTGAGAAGATGGATACAAATTGAGCAATCATTGGAAGGATGTTATTAGCCAGGTAAAATCCCAACTGCTTTTGTTGTGGTTGTCTATCATATCTGCCGGGTACTACTACACCACGCAGCGCTCGCCCTACCCCACACCCCCACACCCTCCCTCTCCCCCCTTGATCCTCCCCCTTACCTATATAACCTCTTACCACGGCAACTCTCTCTCCCACTTCAGCAAAAACACTTCTTGCTGTGGTTTTCCCACCCGATGATGATTGCTTGTGTTGCAATCGAAACGTCGTGATTTAATTTATTTTATTTTATACCTACGTGACTTTACTGAAATAACCAAAGAGTATGTGCTCTGCCACCAACAGACACTGGCTACTGGCAGCACAAATGGGGCTTCTAATTCGGCCTACAGATTTGGATAATTCTATGAAAGTTGCAAATATGGATTCAGATTCATCCCATTATATTATTCGCACGGTGGCGAGATGTTATCTTCCTCTCTTGGTTTGCAGGAGGTCGTCTGTTTGATCCCGACCCTGACGCTTTTATATTTGGAGTTTGCATGTCCATGACGCATGTATATTTGGAGTTTGCATGTTCTCTCTGTGATTTTGTGGATTTTTCTCTGGGTCCTCCGGTTTTTCCCTCCACATTTAGAAACTTGCCTTTAGAATGTTTGGCCGCTATAAATTTTCACATGATGAGGAACTTAGCTGAGCCACGATTTGTGGCCAGGTTGGTTTTGAAAAATATTTCTCTATCTCATTGGACTTTAACCTGTTAAAAAAACTTGCTACAAATATTTCATGACCCTCTGATGTATATATCCACATGGTGCGCACACCTCAAATCCACCACAACCCTTTGGAATTAATCTTTGAGACTCCCAACCTGCATTTCTTCATGGTTGTCAGTAGTTGACTGATACAGCAAGTAGGGTTTTTGACCTCTGGATAATTGCACACTCTCAAACCCTGCTTGAAAGGCTTGTTACTCAACAAGGCTTTCCAGAGTAAATAGTATTCTTGTTATGTGGGTGTGTTGCCTTACACGTGGCAGCATAACACCACCCTATGGGAGAAACCCAGGTTTATTCCCTATCAATAATATTCAGGTTGATCTGGGTGATGGAACTGATATCCACCGTCCATATGACTTCCACCTGTACCCTCAAAATTAGCTTGGGAAAAGTCTCACTATGCATCGGCGAAAGAAGTGAACATTGCCACATTCACTGCGTTGAGTAAGCTTCCAAAGGAAGTCTTATGGCTGGATGGATGAGTAGGCTTACTGCTGCCCAAAGTGCATTGACATTCATGTAGGTATGTTAGGATATGGTTATATGATATAGAATGTGTCTGGAGAAATATCGCTGTTTTTGTATGAGAGGACAACAACGTTGGGATAACCCAAGAGTATGAATGGGAAATGGTCTTTTATTTACTACAAATAGGCCCTGACTGGAGTTTCCTCTGTATACCTTTGCCATCAAGTAACAGAACCCTGTATTTTCCCTGAGTATTTTTTTTTCAATCTTTTAAAACGGTTATAAAATGTGCATGAGTCATCCATGTTCCTTGAACACGCTCTCGTGGGTGTCAGACAGTCTTGATTTATGAAAATATATATGCAGAAAGTATAAATGTTTGAGTTGTATATAATGTGAATAACTGTCCATTTTTGTGCTGTTTTCTTTACAGTTAATGCTACTTGCGTTATTGTCCCTGGTAAGTAATTTAATAATTAACACCACAAAACAAACATCAGTGCAAGCAAACAAGAGCTGATGAAAAAAAATGTCACATACTAATACCTGCAAATGTTTTTCAACAAAAACATTTGAGTCGCAAGGAAAGAATGTGATGCAAAGATTTTTGCACGGAAAAGCATTTTGTAAAGATGTTCATGGACACCATTGTATGTACAGACACTTTGGTACAGAGGGAACCATTGGTTTTGCTATAGTTCTATGAAAGAATTGCAAGACATTTTTTGCATACATTTTTCTAATACAGTTATCCCTCGATTTTTAAAAAGGATGTTTAAAAAAAAACGTGCGTAAAGCGAAATTTCGTTCATAGGATTCGGCTTTTCCCCTTCAATTTAACACTGCAAGTTAGGGATGTGTTTTGGACAGTCATTCCAACTCTACTCCTAACCTAAACATACGCCTGTATCACTATACACAATCCAAAAATAATAAATACAATCAATATTACAACGATGAAATAATAATAAATTCAAAACTAAAATGATAAATTTTCATGGAACTCTGCAAACTGTATCCGCATGTCGGCATGCCTGTAAAAGTGATGTGGAGGCGTCGCTGTTGCACTGCGGCGAGACCATGACCCTGTCGCGGATGGATGACGCAGCCTCCTGGGTGTTTCTTTTTTGATGATCTCATTTGCGCGTTCCATGTGAATTTTTTTTCATATTTGGTTACTCAAAAAGTGTCCGTAATTTGTCAATTGCGTTTACGCGAAAATTCGTAGGTCGATTGTTCATAAATGGACAGAAACCTTCTCTCAATTGTAATCCTGTTCCATTTGTCAACAACCATCCCTTTTATGTTGTACTTGGTTAACGTTTTCAGTCAAAGTCCTATTCAAACCGATTAGCACTTGGATGCAGTGTAGTACACTTCCGTGCTGCCATGTCTATCGGTGCTCTCCACCTTCACCAATGTGCGCTGACCGCCCTGGTGAAGTTTGATCACTTATCCCCCTCGAACAGCACAGTGGGGACTGATAAAGAGCTGTACCGGTACCACTTAGATAAGCTTCTCCAACAGTGGCTGGGTTGGCAGTAGATATTGACCAATATAAGTTATATGTCTTTCAAATTAAATAAAAACAGGATAAATATTTAAATAACGTAGAAAAAAATCAACCAGTAAGCACACGGCCACATGAATGAGCTGTCGCTGCGTTCACATTGGTGCACACCAAGTGGTTGTCTATTTTTTGGGGGGGGGAGTTTCTTCAGAAAAAAACAAATATAGAAGCTGTTTAATATTTAAATGTTGTGGTTTGTTTTTCAGTCGTTATTATTGTAGCCCTCATTGGTGCGATGCTTGCATTTGCATTCTTCAAGAAAATTGCGTGTTTTGCACCAAGTGGAAGCAAAACCATGTAAGTACAAAATTATAACATTGTTATTTTTTTGCTGTACTTGGCTGTTGATTAAAGCTTAATCTTTTAAATATAAATTACCCCTTAAGTAAAAACAATAATCTCATTTGGTTTACATTAACCTCAATTAAAAAGGGCATGCTCTGAATTTACCCACTGCTACACAGCAAGAAAATTTGCTGTCATTTTCACAACTGTTGATGATTGCTTGTGTTGCAATCGAAACGTCGTGGTAATTTTAGTGTTTTATTATTTTATTATTTCCCTTCTACGTGGCTCTACCGAAAGAACCAAGAATATTAATTCCTGCAGTCACGACAGCTTTAAATCGAAATCTTTTTACCCTGTCACGACCACCGTTTTGCTTATCCTTATTGGTCTCGTGGCATTTCACATTGCACTGATGGTCATTATGGTTCCTTGGAGGTAGATAGGTCCCAGTTGTGAGTGGTACAGAGCCTGACATTGCCATTGACACAACAGAACTTATAGTTTATTCTGAGAAGATTTGGCCAGGTGGCACGGTATTTACAATGCTTCACATGTAACCAGAAGGTTACGAGTTTAATGCCTGGTCAGGAGTAGAATCACCTTGTTCTATACATTTTGATAAAAGAGTACCACGTGAGAAGTCATCCTTTGTTATCAAATGGAGATGCCCATTTCCCCTAAATTCGTGTTAACATTTCCACCATTGACTCATGACTGCTTGTGGAAATGAGTGCCTCCCTACACTCTTCACTTGGAGGTGCTTTGATTTTTACACGCTTTTTATTAACTCTGTTGTATCCTCAAATCTTCTAACTCAATTTTTACCCACTTCCCAATGTGGTATCGACTGCAAACTTGGTATACTTATGCCATACTGATGACAATACTATATTCTATCATAAAAACACAAAAAAAACATTTAAAAACATATTTTGTATGTGTTATGTTTCGGCTTGGCTCTAATTGTCCACGATAAACTGACGTTGGCTGTGAATGACCAACGGTCCCGTACGTTATGGCAAGCTTCGGGGCCACTTCCTGGAGTCGTATAGTTCTTACATTGCTACTACGGTACATTTCATTAAAGCATGTTTAAAAAAAAGTTTTTTTTTTAATATTACTTATTATGGAGGCGGAGAGAGAGAATGGGAACTTACAGCTGTAGCAGTGAGTTATGAAGTTTTTTTTCCTTCTCACATGGATATTTTCCTCTTAGCTTAATTGCTGTTTATTTGACTCAGAAATGACCCTAGGAAGAATGAAAACGAAATCCCTCTTAATGATACTATGTCGTTGAAGCCTAACGATGCATGAGAGGTCACATGGAGCATGCAGGTAACCGAGTGCTTTGTGTTCGCGCTGGGGTTGGAAACCCACGGCTTTCGGCCCTTGACTTCACACCATATACGTCTCACGAGCATTTGAGGTCTACCATTTAGAAACGGCCCACAAACAATATCCGTCACTAAGTGTTTGAGCCACACTTGTCGAGTGCTAGAGCAAAATGTACGCATATATCGGAACTGGCAAAACTGTAATATAATTTTAGTGTCCTTAGTCACTTGTCATTTCAAGAGCCTCCAACACACTGGTGTGCTGTACTCGTGACGAATTGGCATGTTCTGTTTACGTGACCACCATTAATAGTTGGCTGTGTCGGGTGGTGGCGGGTTTTAACGACACATTTATGTATTTACACGATCTAACCCAAAAATGCTCTTATGGTTTCTGTTACTGTTATGTATGCATGTGGCTATGCGTGTGATCTTCATGAACAGTCGCAAATTGTGAATCTGTCTGCCCAATTTCAACTGAGAATCATACTGATTGTAATGAGGAATGACTTGAAATATTTAATTTTAACATTTTCATATTGAAGGGTTAGATTAAAGGATTATTAATATAAAATTTGCAATATTAATAGTATAATTCTACAGTTTTGTAAGTGGATATGATAAAACACATGTAAAGAAAGACATTAAATGTAAGAAATTTGTCTCTTCTGACAATGCATGGCAGGATGCAGATGTTAATGTTATAATGTTGATACATGTTAAAGAAAAGCTATTAAAACCAAGCAAAGCCCAGTGATATATTTGCTTGAGAGGATGGTAACATCTGGGAAACATGAATGTGTGTTAATTATTATTGGCAATCATTCCATACATTAACGACCAAATAAGCCGAGGCTTAAGGAATGTTCGTGTGAAATTAGGCGGCTGGGTAGCCCAGCAAGACCCCACGATGGTCAATTTGCTCATTAACCACACACCAAGCACACTACCTGCTGTAAAGATAAACTTGTCTAGAACAAAATGGTGAAAAGAAGCCTGTCCCTGCACAATTACAATCACCATACTCTGCCTTGCAAAGAGGATCATAGGAATCAATTGGCTTCATCTAATGGGAATTGATATTATTGCCGTATTTTCAACAATTATTTTTCTGGGTTTTTTTGTCTTTGTGAATGAGCAATAACATTTTTTTTGTAATACATATGTTTTAATATTTAAATCGTGTACTGTTTGCACGTGTATTGCCTCTTCTCAATCCAACAGATGAATGCGTGTTCTGAAAAAAAATTCTTCTACAGATCTGGAATGAAGACCTTTTGTATAGTAAAGAAAATTAATATTAATATAAGGACTGAATAGGGTCCTTATTTTCACATTGGTCTTATTTAATGTTATTTGTTCAGCAGATGTAAGCGGAACTTGTGGATAAAAAAATCTTGCCTTCTAAATGATTTTTAGCACTGAAAGCCTTATTTAATCAGTATTGTAAAATAAAACCAACTTTATTTGGTAAAGGTAATTTAAGAATGCACTTGTCCATAAAATAATGTTATTTTTGACTGCTAAAGCTGCGTGTGATGCGCCCATTTCTTTAAAAGTAAAAAAAAATCATTTTCTAAAATGTGGTGAATTGGAGAGCATTTCCATTGTTACCAGCACCATATAGTATTTAATTGAAGCACCTTTTATAATCGCTCTAAATAACTGTTGTGTTGCTTTGAGTCTTTACAAAAAAACCCTCTGCTTTGCCCATCACGACCATCAACCTGGCATTGCGTTGTCTTGTTGGTGCAAGCTTCTCCGCCAATTATTATTACCTCGTGCCAGCTTTGTCCATTTGAAAACCCTTACCACCCTGGCATTGGAACATCCCACCCAACCGGCACATACACATGTGCCAGTTCTGAATTCAGATTCTGGGACCAGCGCGCATTTGTTTATGCAATGATGCATTCGATTAAACATCGGCAAGATTTTGGTGTCTGCTCGGCCGCTTTTTTTTTTAAGCCAAAGAAATGTTTCGGATGTTTAGTTGTTGGACCCCCCGAAGGTGATGATGATGCCGCCAATCGACTTAAACCCTTACTCCCACCTTCAGATAAAAAAAAAACGCTTCTGTAAAAAGCTGAGTTATGGAGGGACAAATCCCATGTTACATTTGACCACAACAGTTACCCAACTTGAAATGTCCAGGAGCGGTTTGGATGATGACTCGCTGTAATTCGGAGTGGAGCTCGTGCCTGATTGGAACTTGGTTTAGACCAAGGGATCATTGGAAAAAGAAAGTAAATTAGGTTCAGTAAATGCCAATAAATGTGTGCAATTAAAATACATTTTGCTGGATATTGTACACCAATCCCTGAGAAATTGACCCTGATCTTGTATTTATCCTTAGCTCTTACACTCTTAATAAAACAATGTTTGTATTTCCATTCTGTAACCTTAGCTTTGTGTCTAAAACGAGTAGGAACTCACTCCTAATCCTTAAATAAACATTTGTTTTGCTTCTAACCACCACAAATCACCGTGATTTCTGAGGACGTAAGTTTCCAAAACAATGAATTCTGTCAATATTTAAGAATTACAACGTTCTTTTGAAAAGCCTAACAGCATGTGAGGGTTGTTTGAGTAACAGTTATCACCACTAGTGGTGCATGTTAATGCTGCAATGTACGACCTGCTTGCAGTCACGACTGGTATTTGTTGAAGTAAGTGATTGTGGACGTGTATAATAAGTACGCTGCTTTCCCTATGTTGCCTGTCGTATTATATTAAAAAAAAATCACGTTTCAGTGCAGTGAGTATTCCCTCTGGTTTCCCATCCTTGATGTAGATTGAGAGCAATCTCTCCCAATGTGCTTGTTGGCATGTCAATTTGCCTTGTTGCGCATGGCTGTTTGCCTCTCCATCAGTATTTTTGCACAGTCCTGGTGAGATCAACGACCGTTGCTGACTATGTCAGTGGCCAGGAACGCTTATCCAAACACAAGATTACAGCAAATACGTAATTACTTTTGAATTTACGTGTTATGAATCTAATTAGGAAGCCCCCTTTCACCGTTGAGCCAATCCAATGGTGATTTTCTTTGCCAAGCTGTGTATTGAGCATTTATTTTCTCTTGCTTTTGCCACACACGATCGAGGTAATCGTGCCTCATGTTCGCATTTTATATTTTGTTTGCCTTTCCATCTTCTGACTCCGGTTGAACACATTACGAAGGATCAGTGACGACTACATTTGGTCGATTAATTATATAAAGAAATGCTCAACATGCAGCCTACCTCAGAAAACCACATTTATAAATGACAAGCACGTTACCTACGACATTAAAACAACGTCCTTCATAAATGCTTCTGCAAGCGTGTTTTGCCGTCTTAATTTTAACGGCAAATATTGGTTTATGCAGACTTAAATTGCCAAATGTTTCAGTATACTCCCAAATGGCTTCATTTGTAAAGGTGGAAATCGTCATACCCACCTCCGTCTCCCAACCCCAAAAATCACATTTGACTGGACCCTCTGGAAAGTGCCACAGGAGTTGAATGGATTCTGCGTTACCCTTACAGGCCACTCTGCTTCTCTCCAAACATTTTCTCCCAGCTGTGCAAAAAAAAAACAATGGAATACCATTCACAAAGACTGTAAATAAAAAAAAAATTGCCTTGGGATACTTTTTTTATTACATTATTTTATCACCATTGTAGGACGTGTGATTAGACTCCGCAATGTTTCATGACTGCTATATCTGTGTGTGTTTTGTAATGTGGCTATTGCACCGGGTCTCGTGGTGTTGAACTATCGTGCTGCATGTGATGGCTGGAAATGGTAGTTTGCCTGCAGAGGAAATGTGATCTGTTTGGCACAAGCCAGACATTGGAGTGGATACAATGAAACCGCTAAATTGCTTTGTATAGAATTGGTAAAGTTGGAATCTGGTCATTGATTTCTTAAAATGTAATCTACTGAGCACTGTAGTTGTAGCACTTATATTAAAATATTTTGTATTCATCGGCAGATGAATGATTTGTATTGACATGTTGCCCGTTTTTTTTCTGTTTGGCTGCTGTTTTACTTACGAGAACGCAAGTTAGCTATAATGGTATCGGCACTGCAAAGAAAGTTAAGATTTGGACCTTGCTTAGATTCAGATTTGGGTCCTATACATATTCCCCCCTTAAGTCTGCTTGGATATATGTGCAGTAAGGTTATTCAAATTCATTTCTAAGACAACCCTGATCTTAAATCAGGTGATAATAGTGTTAATATTATGAACTTTTTAAAGGCATTTATTTTATAAAGGAAATGATGGATACTCAAATTAAAATAAATGAGTGACAACTTGCCGACAGGGGCGATATGAAGGGTATAATATACACATCTTGTTTAAATAGACATCGGAGAAAATGCCTTTGAAAATTACTAAGAGTACATCTAAATTAGAACAAAGAACTGCATGTAAACTGAGAACGGTTCCATCAATTGTGAACGCGTGGATTTGTAGTGAAGCTCGTGATGATGGGGTTTTTAGGTCAAAGCGCAGTGTTGAAGGGTGACGTTTGCGAGTGCTTTGTGTTGAATCTGTTGAGCTTTTGTGATATATACTGCAGAAGTTGGGGTTTCAATTGCTGGCGGTTGCTGGTGGGTTTTATGGCCTAAATCCCTAAAACACATTTGTTAAGTGATAATTGTTAACAGCACAATACTCTGGAGAAGACGTACCATAGGTTTTGCTGCCTGCCTTTGCACTGGGCAACATTAAAGACACCACGTGATATCTGTCGTTCGTTGCCTTGCTCTGCTTGTGTTAAGTTTGTGACGCTTACACGTGGCATTCCTGAAGTATGTGGTGTCATTTTGTGTGTAACTGTTCACTCTTGGCCAATAGCCATATCGCCCGAAATGAAGTTTTTCGGTTTATTTTGTTTTACCAGGTGAGAACTCAAGACGAGCATGTCTTATTTGCAAAAAATAACCACCTGGATAACATTTTTTTTTTACAAAAGTTAAACAAAGTACAGTGGAGCAAATATAAATCTTGAGTAAAATCAACTTAGACCAGCAATAATTATCAATGGCTGTCTTGTTTATACCGTGTCATTGTATATCTGGATTGCAATGTTTTTCCATTTGTGCTGTGAATTGTGTAATTTGTACTTTGCATTGTACTAATTGCATCATTTGCAGTCTCATTCGTATAGTCTACACTCACTTCACCAACCCACACTGACCCGCGCTCAGATAACCTCAATGGCCTGCAAAAGGGATGCACATGTACATTCGCTTATGAAGTCAAAATGCTTTAGTTTTAGTACATTTGGTGTTCATGCCATTCTTGTAGCACAGGGCTAGCACAACGGTGCTATGCGCTACAGATTTATATAGTTTGCCAGTAGGGAACGATGTTGTGTTGTCCGAATATAATTATTTGCGGCTGATTGTGTTATTTGGATAATGACGCTGGCACACGGCGAGGGGGGGGGTTAAGAGTCCACTGAGAAGCGGATGGAGCCTATTTGTAGGGTTAATACTCAGTAATGAAACGGTGGCTGCCGAAAGTCGAACCGCAAACCCCTGCGTGGTGAGTGTTAATTCGGCCAATCGTCCCTCTGCGGTCGTTAACATCAGTGCTCTACCACGTGCGGCTGCATCACTTGGTCGGCAGGTTAACAAATTATTTATCGGTGGAGACCCACAGTCGACACCAAGTGACGCAGTGGCAGCCTAAGGACGAAAACGCTCCCGAGAGAAAGGCCGCCGTGGTGATTGAGTGATGAAATCGACACGTGCAGAAGCGAGATGGATTGAGCGATGAACTTCGGGAGACTTTCATCCAGCAGTGAATTAATTATTAAATGGTTGTGGTTAGTGTTACTAAACCCGTTTTTTTCTCCTTTCACGGATGTCCAGGAGTTATAAGATTTAAATGGCTGCAAGGGAAGGGCTTAAGTGTCCTCTTGTTGGTGTCACCTTTGACTCGTCTCCCACTTTGTATACCCACATCGCCTCACATCTGCCGCTTTCCTCTAATGAATCACGAAAATCTACTCTTCACTTTCTGCCGCCAAACTCCTGGTCTATGCTCTAATCTTTATCTGCAATTGCTCTCACTCCCCTCCAACATATTCAAATGTTTCAATCTCCCATTTAATTCTCACGTCCGCCCTATAGTCTCCCACCTTAGCCGGTAGAAGATACCAACAATCCATCTGATTAAGGTGCCCAAAAATGGACTCATGATCGCATCTTCCCCCTTGTGGGCAACTGGGATGGCAACTTCCAGTCCAATTTCATAAAAGTCCGCAGTTTGTAGACTTGTGAACTTGTTCAAGAAACAATTATGAATAGTAATATTGGTTGCGCAAACTTACATGCAAGACCTATATTCATCGGCACACTTTTAAACATACTCTTCACATTTTCCAGCCAGAACACCCGTCTCCCTCTGCCATTGCTATACCAAGTTTCTGATTTTAAAAATAACATTCGAGCTTCATGGATCTTTTTCAGACCTGGCCACATATGATAAGCTCAACGAAGTGGCTTTCCATGTGGAAATGCATAGCAGTCAAAATAACTTAAGCGCACGTTTCTAAATTAAAAAAAAAACCTATGGAGGACTGGCGGCCACGGGAATGTTCGAGAAGGGAGCGTGGTCAGGTGACGGAAGAGGACGTTGGAGTCTGCCGGGAGAGCGAGCGTCCAGAGTCAGCGAGAATGATCGAGAAGGGGGGGCGTGGCCTCGTGTTGGTATATAAAAGGGAGATGCGCGGGAGACTCGGGGCTGTTGCAGTGGGGATCTCCGCCTGATGTCAAGTGAACGTGTCTTCAATAAAGTGCCGTCTCAAGAGCAGTGTGTCAAGTCATTAAATATTTACTAATATCTTAGTTGAGCACGTAGCTCGGACAATGAGCGGCGTGCGAAAACTCCGCCAGAACGCGTTGACATTTGCCATCTAATTTTATATTTATCAGCTGGGAGGGCCTGTTACCTGGACCCAAAGGGATGAGGTTGTTCATAACGTTACACATCACACTATCTACTGTATACAGCTCAGAGATAGTACACGTGTGATGTGTAATGTTACATATCCTCACCATGTATTATAGCAGAGTTGTATACAATGACAGTGTTGCTGTATGTTGTGATGTGTGACACCCATACGGCTTAGCCATATTCTTGTGCAGGGAAATTGAGTATAAATATTTTTTGTCTATTTGTGTTTCTCCCTTGTGATGGGACTTTGTAGGATGAACGTTGATATTAATAAGGGACACGGTGTGAATTGGTCTGTAATAAGACAAGACACTAATAATAGGGTTTTTTCCCCTTCTGGCAACAGAAAAAAGGAAAAACCCTATTACATTTTGGTACTGGCAAAGGAGGTCTAATGATGAAGACAAGGCACTGACAAGGGGTTGACAGGTGTGCGTACTCTGTGCTATATCTCAGCTGTATACAGAGAATGGTGAGGGTATTGTGAGAAAATAATAAGTGTCACGTCGGTGATCAATCGTACATGGTAAAATAAAATATACGTTGATGAGGTGTCAACCATTAATGTTGCGCAACAAAACCACCTGTTGCATCGACGTTGCGCATTCTCATCACACCACCTTTGCCACAACACGGGACAGCTGCAGTACACGATGACACAATGGAGACATGACGAATCAATCGCTGGAATTTTCTGGCAATCCGTGATTGTGCACACACGCACGCAGCTACTAACCTGTATATGTATATACTGTCGACGTCATTTATCTTCCTTATACTTGCACTACTATCATGTTTTTGTACTGTTGTATTAAACGTAACTTACCCCGTGCCCCTATTGGATGTCTGTGAAAACGAGCTTTATAGCTCATCGGATTTCTCCTGCAGTATTAATATTCTAATTGTACGTCAGTCCAATGATGGCAAATTAACATATGTCATAATTATAATAAATCGCGTTACCGGCATCTGCTTTGATCCACATTGCTCACCCGAAGCTATTGGGCTGTTTAGAATGTACCACTCACGAGGGAGGGGGAACCAACAGTTTTGAATGGACTTTAACTTTAAAACATTAAAAAAACAAAGCACGACAGCATTATAAAATCACTGCAACTATTTACAATTAATTATTAACAAATTCCAAATTAAATCAATGGAATAGGGTAAAGTTTTATTTGTAAAATTGTGAAATAATGGGATACAATCACCCCTGTAGTCGATAAATGGTTTATCCGTGGGTTTTGGCGATGACATTTCTATTAAATTGTAATTACATTTTTAAAATATGTTTTAAATAAAAAAAAAACACTTTGTGTGTGTGTTAACATCCACAATTGGAGATGCTATTTTGGGCGGGAAAGAAGGAGCGTTACCGTGACATACACGCACGAAACTACTAACTTTTATATAGATGTAATGACCCAAAAACAACCCCCAAGCAATATGCAGCCTAACGGGCAATTTTAAAATAAAGGTCTCCGATAGTCCGATTGGAAGAAAGTAATGCAACTTTACTTAATTACTTTCTCCACGGCGACTGGTCGGGAAGGCAGTCTTTTAAAGGGATTGGATGAATAATGGGTTGAACGAGAAAAGAGGGAAAACAGAAAGGATCCGTTAGATGGAACGGACAGGGATTGGCTCGATGTGTAACTCGGATAAGAAGGTTCGAGAAAGGGAGCCGAGAGATATATAAGGGAAGAGCACGAGGAGTGAGGACGCTCGGAGGAAAATACAAGCAGGAAGACAAGAACGAAGCCTCGGGTCCGTTATTGTGGAAGTCTTTAAATAAAAGCGGCCCTTATTACTTTGTTGTTGGAGTCGTTGCATATAAATAGCGCCTTTATCCAAGGCGCTTTACAGGGGTTATTATGAGTGGTACCAATTAGAGTAGCTGAAGGTGATTTGGTGAATAGGGATGGAGGTGTTATCGGGTACGGGAATTACTGGGAGGGGGGGGGGGGTACCTAGGGATGGAAGAAGGATGGGGCCAGGACACCAGCCAGGGAGATGGTGTGGAAGCACTTCCGAACTACAGAGTGTATGGTCCACTCCGGTGGCTGCACATTAATTGTTTAAAAATAAAGAAACGCATTAAATGCAGGTGTCGACGGGCGCACAACAATGGGCGTGGAGACTTTTCGCAGGTGGGTTTATTTTAATGCGAGACTCCAGCTCGGACCTCAACACTCTTTTTTTTTCAGCCCGTTTCTCACTGCCTCCACGGGTTTGGCACCTTCACTGCTCTGAACCTGCGGCTGATTTCTAGCCAAAATCAGGGGTGAGAGGGCAGGAGGGGCAAGGCATATGGGTTAACCTGCTTGGGTAAGCATTGAGCTCTCATCGGCCCTATTGTCTGGAGATGCAGTTTATAGCATCCTGATGACTTTTAATAAGGGGGGGGGGGATTTTTTTCTAACTCACACCATGTGACAGGTGCTACTCGCTTCATGTGGAAGGGGACGTTTGTTCCAGTGCAAGGGGGGAAAGTCGGGAAGAGGAGCGGAAACGAGATTGTGCACAAGGAGAGGGGGTAACGGTTAGGAGGAGAGATCGTCAGTTTGTTCCCCTAAAAAGGCCCAATATTAAAATATGCTCAAAATGTCCCCCTCAATATATTGCTATTAAAAAATAATTGCTATGCTATGTAAATAAAAACAACAATTTGCTAAACCTTGGCCACAATATCTGGACTTGTCTTCATATAAATAAATGCATAGATTTCTGTTTACATGATTGTGGTTATGGTTGCACTTTATTAATCCCTAATCTCTGCCATTGCATACAATGAAACAAGAAATGGTAAAAAAAAAGTAAAAACAGAGCAATGTAATACAATATACACTATTAGACAATATTGTAAAAAAAAAAGTCCATCCCACGAGTTAGTGAATTTTTTTAAATATTTTAGGCAGGAAATGAGTTTGCAAATTTAGATTTTTTTTCTGAGTTGGGACCCCCAGACACCCTGGAAGATTTGGATCCCCCCCAATGTTGACTCCATGGCTACGGCCTTGTCCCCTAATCTCCCCCGTCTTCTTTTTCGAGAGACCACACAAGAGCGAGCCCTGTCGCGTTCCCCTTTCTGTGTGCCACGGCCCAAGGGTTCCCCGAGCAAGGCCCTCTCCTTCCCCGAAATGAAGGGCGGTACCGACGATGGCTGTGGCGATAACGACCAACTCACAACCGCAGCTTGCGTTTATTATAATACTTGTATATTTTAAACAACTGTAGTATACGGTATGTATAAAATTAGTTTACTCGTAAAATACAATTTTTATTTTTTTTATGTTTATGAGTATCAATGTGACGATGGCCGCTTTGAGTGGCGGATTTTGTGCCCGAAAGGCGCCGCGTGTGTGAGCAAAAATAGAATTGGCTTGACTTGATGCCGTCAGAGGATGCCACAAGTTCCTGTTTTAGGCGTGCAGAGCCTGCTCACGCGTTTGCGTCTCATACTTGCCGGTCCTTCAGGCGTGTCTGACTTCTGAGTCGTATAAGCAACGTGGTCATGTTCCGTAAACATAAAGGGTGAGTTGTGACTAGAGACCAAGGTCACTTGCCAGAGATTTCGGTGATGACTCTGTGGTATGTTTTCGTCAATCGTTGCGAAATGATACTTGGTTTCGGGTTGTGGCTTGGGATGTCGCACGCCCTGGCCTGTAACAAGTGACACAAGACATTTCTCCAGACCGCGTCATCACGAAGTTGCAATCATGGCCCTTCTCCCTAATATGGTCATCGTTATCGTCGGCCAGTGCATCTTGACAGGTGTCTTGGCACAAAGTGCACCACTCATTCGAATATATCAATAAATTTTGGTGGCCAAGATTGCTTAGAGCTGCTTACGTGGCTCAGAATGTTTGAGCTGACACACTGAACACAGTTCACATCCGGGCAGCCACCTGCGATTAAACTGGGTTCTTCCTTGTTGGCGGTGTCAGCGTGTACATTTTCAGCTTTATTTTTAAGTATGGCTCTAAATTCTTGATTTGAAGCTTTCGTGACTGCAGGAATCCATACTCTTTGGTTCTTTCGGTAAAGTCGCGTAGGTAGAAATGAAATAAAACAAATAAAATCACAAAAGTACCAAAGAGGATGGCTCTACATTCTAAAACATCGCCTCCCCTCTTGGATCAGCCACGACTGTGGGGGGAAAAAAAAAACAGCCGGGTCAAAAATCACCGCCCGATCACGGACCCCACAAAGCACGTGGCTTCACCGTGCCACGTAAGGTATGGGTCACGGTGCAGCGCATCAGCACCTCTCATGAGTGCTGCAATCAGCTGCTTCTGAAATGGGGAATGAGGGAAAGCCCTATATGTGGCTGTGAAGACATCCACAAACCAAGGGACATTGAGAGATACGATAATGCCATCTGAGGTTATTCACGAGAGGGAACATTCTTGATTCACTCAATGTCATTGGAAGCCATAGAGTGGTTGACAACCACTTATATCATTGCTTTTCAGCAAGGGCTCTATTGTATGTGGTCAGGCTTTGATTTTGCTACATGCACAGCACATACTTTTGCAGGAGGGTTGGCGAGTGGGCTGAGTGTATCCAACCTGTGACGTACGAGATGTCATGCCGACCCGGTTTTATCACGAGTGGGCGCCTTGAAATTGAATCTCAGCGGCAATGGTTCTGTGCCATGATGCCTGCATGGCATTGGACCCCTTAAGCCAGCTGGCCCCCTCATGGGTTTCGTTGGTTGACAATTGTTCGATGCCTGGTGCAAATATTAAACACATTCCTGCGGAGGGAGCTGGTAGGAACGTTGGGTTGCTCGGTCAATAGCCAGGGTCAACGGCGGCGTGGTGTATTCCGCAAATATGCCCGACTGTGAGGACGGGCACAAGCCGGCGTGAGTAGGTTAAACGTTGAGTTTTATAAGGGCACCACGGGGTGACCAGGCCTTCCCCACCCAGCCCCTCCCCTCCCACCCCCCACCCAGCCCCACCCCTCCCCACCCAGCCCCTCCCCACCCTCCCACCCAGTCCCTCCCCACCCTCCCCACCCAGCCCCACCCCTCCCACCCCCCACCCAGCCCCACCCTCCCCACCCAGCCCCTCCCCACCCAGCCCCTCCCCACCCAGCCCCACCCGTCCCACGTGGACAGACATCCACAGACATACACAATTAATCCCCTGCCTCCTGTGAATGAATCCCGGTTGGGCTTCCAGTCCACTACGTTTCCTACCAGTATTATGGGTGCCTCTATGCCCTTCTCCATTCGCTGAGTGTTGTTTACCCCATTTGAAGTAAAAAACAAAATTCGAAGCTATCTTCTGCTGACGCGATCATTCAGGCGTTGCTCATCTCTTATTTCAGCCCTGTGACAGTGGTGAAAATTGCACATTTCTATGGCGGGGGTGAGTATATCCATAGGACAACCATTGTTGATGTCCCCAAAAAGTTGTAAGGTATTTATGGTATCGACCCCGGAATGATGATGGGTTGAGTCAGCCCCCTAACAGGATTTGAACTCATTACCTTCTGGTGGCAAGTCACCAACTCCTACTGCTGAGCCACCTCATGTTTGTTTATTAGGTTGATGATGATTTGCCCCTCTTGCGATTCAATGCGGTGGCGAAATGTTAACTACCTCGCCTTATATACAGGAGGTCGTGGGTTCGATCCCGATCCTGATGCCTGTATATTTTGAGTTTGCATGTTCTCTCTCCCCGTGGTTGCTTGGATTTTTCTCCGGGTCCTCCGAGATTTCCCTCCGCATTTAGAAAGAGGATCTGTCCGCTATAAATTACCACGTGATGATACGTCACTTCGTTGCGCGATCATTGGTGGCTAGGTCGCTTCTGAAAAAGAGCGATATACCTCAGTCGGCCTTACCTGGAATTAACAACAAAAAAATATGTTAGTTTAGTTGAGAGTGACAGTCAATTTAACACGTAGGCTTTCGCGACCAATATCATCCATAATACAGGTTTTTTGGGTTAGATGTCGTAAATATATAAATGTGTCGTTAAACCCGCTACTACCCGACACAGCCAACATATATATTTACGTGATCTAGCCCAAAAAAAAATTGAGTGACAGTCAATCCTTGGCATGCCTCTGGAGCCCTCCCATGGGCTCGTGCATTGCTCATTTACCTCCTGATTCGTTGCCCTCCTCCCGTCACCCCGTTGAGCTATGATTTGTGGCCAGGTTGCTTCTGAAAAATATCTATATAGCTCAGTGGGCCTTACCTGGTAACAAAAAAATGTTAATAGTTTCAACGACTTGTTAAGCTTTAGCGTCACGGTTTCATTAAAAAAATCAAATATACTTTTAACATCGGGGTGCACTATAGCACCTCTAGTGGCTGCAGGGGTCACTTTAACTAATTCCATACAATGTATACGAAACAAAACGATAGGATGCGGCCAGGCGGTTCAGAGCGCTGAGCTGGCATCACCGAGACTCTGGTTCCGAATCCAGGCAATCCCACAATCGATGGTCTCAGCCCACACACCAATGACTGCACGACCCCCACCCCCCATCACTTAAAGCATGTGACCGCATTTAAATTTGGCAAAATTCCAGCCTCGCTTGACCGTCACGCAGCAAACACGAACTGCTCTTGAGTGGCAACGTAAGCAGAGGTCACTGGCAGAGATTTTAGTTGGATAACTTGGTCTCACGACACCGATAGTACAATTGTTGGGAAATACAAAAACGTTCTGCTACACTGTAGCGCCTCTAGTGGCTGTAGGGTCACATGAACTACACGAACTATGAACGGAACAATTATTTTACCAGGTAAGGTCTTTTGAGCTATGTAGCTATTTTTCAGGAGCGATCTGGCCACAAAGAGCAGCCAAATACACTAAATGCATGTTGATTCAAAATGTGGAGGGAAAAACGGGAAGACCCAGATAAAAATCCACGCGACCACGGGGAGAACATGCAAGCTCCAAATATACAGGCGTCAGGGTTGGGATCAAACCCACGAGCTCCTCTATGTATACCGGCCGAGGTAGTTAACATCTCGTCACCGTGGACACCAATTCCATATATAGCTCCACTTGGTGCGTGCATCGTGCGCGATAATTTCATGTCACCCTTGAATCGCCGCATCATTCCTCGCGTTTTCGTACCACGTGGCGACAGGACAGGCGATATCAATGAGGTAGTTTAATTTGTAAAACATCGCGTGTCTTCTGTGAACCATACCTTATCAACTCATCATCATCATCAATGCCAAATACAATTGCTGTGACAGTTTAGCACAAAGATACACTTAAGTTATTTATATTGTTGAACCAATGAAAATACACCGACCGATATTTATTTACTGTGAAGTCAAGGCAATGAACTATCCACCACACTTGTATCATATAGCGCTTAAAACGTATTAAATATATAAACACTATTCAGGATATAAGCGCACATCACAGCTATAACATGCTGACATATACAGTAGCCCCTCGTTATTCAGGAACTTGCTATCCGCGAATCGCATCTGGAACTCTACACGACTGCCTCAAGAGAGAGAAACAAAGTGATGAGAGAGAATGTGATGACAAAGTGATGAGAGAAACCAATGAGAGAGAGAGAGAAAGTCTCAGACCTCAATATCATTATCCGCGAAATTTGCTATTCACGAGCATCCCCGGAACGGACCCGTCGCGGATAACGAGGGAATGACTATATACAAGCTGACGGCACACACACTGGGTGGCAGAACAAGGCGAGGCGTTAACAACGCACACGGAGCGAGCGAGATACGAGGGTCACAGCTGGCCAGAGCGAACACACGAGCGGAGTCAGCGGAGGCAGGTCAGGCGTCGTGGCTGAGTGCGGTCAGAGTTGGGACACCGCGTCGTTCTCCCTCCTCCCGTGCGCGGCCCTCTCCGGCTCCGTGCCCACTTGAGGCTTTGGCGGCTTCCGTGCGCCGCACAGCATGCGGTGGATGTGATCGCGAAACTGCGCGCGGCACGGGACCGGGGAGTAGGGTGGTGGCGGGGGATGCAGAAGTTGCGTGCCACGCACGGATTAGCGGTGTCTTTCCTCTGTCGCTCTCTTTATCTGGTGGTGGTGGTGGCTAAGCACGCCTGTAATCCGGCAACTTGTTGTCCTTCCCCCGAACCTCCGATTAGCCACGGCTAGCTACGCACGGTGCGAAATAAGTTATACATACGTACGGTTAGAGGCGAGGGGTCGTGGATCGAACAAATGTTGTGAAACTCCGTTCCCGCGCGCGTTGGGTAAGTGCTATACCCTGGCTCACCAGAAGAAGGCAGTGCTGTACAGCAAAGATGTGGACTGCACCTGTTCCGTCTGTATGGGATCGAGCGTTTCCCCATCGCACACATGGGTTTTCTCCGGGAGCTGGCTCTAGTATCCTCCCACATGTTAAGATGAATTAATTGACTGATAACACCTCAATATATAGAGAACTGCTGGACATGGACAATTGTTGGTGCCAGCTCACCTCGTGACTGCCTTCCTGCTTGCCCATGGTCCATCATCGGCCTCTCTCTTTGAGAGTGAGTGAATATTGTGCGGCGTGTTACGTACGTACAGTGAACTTCTTTCGCACCGTACGTTGCCAACCGTGCTAATCGGAGGAAGGACAACAAGATAATAAAAAGAGGGCTACGTACGGTGTGAAAAGAAGTTCAACATACATCTCCCACAGGAAGATCGTCCGCAGGTGTTTAATGCCGATCATCGTTTCTAAGCTGGCGATGCTCAGCTCTACCATTGCTCGGTTGACCGTAAGCAGCCCTCATCACCATTTTATGAAACTGCCTCAATGCAGTCTCATTCTGGATTAGCTCTGACGATCTCAAAATCTACGTAAAACAGGAGTCCTCATTGGCAAAAAAAAAACATTTATTCCAAAAATCTGGGCCTCAGAATCAGAATATTTATTTATAGTGGAGGAATCCGATGAGCTATAAAGCTCTTTTTCACAGATGCCCTCATCCTTAGCCTGGAATTTTCTCCTCACATATCAAAGCTCTCCAACGAGACCTCTTGCCAACTCTGAGGCACAATATCGCCAGGACATATCATGGGAAGAAGAGCATCTCACAATTCCAGAAGATGGCACAGCTTCGTGTGAACGCATCGCCTGGAGTGGTGCGTTATTACCACTAAACTGACAAAAACCGTGGAAGACTCACGGCTTTCCCACGACGACGTTCCTGGGAAGACCAGGACAGGTGTGGCAGCCGCACCCTCTCACCTTGTCGCAACGGGCGAGAGTGAACGCTCGCTGTGCAGCGGTCACCTGGCGGTTGAGGAGGATGTAGATGATGGGATTGTAGGCTGTGCTCGACTTGGCTGCGTAGAGAGGGATGGACGCGGCCAGAGGGCTGAGCTGTACGAGAGAAGGAACCGGCGGGTCCGATTACCGAGCGCTTTGCAATGTGTGTACGTTGAACTTCTTTCGCACCTGACGTAGCCAACCGTGCTAATCGGAGGTGCGGTGGAAGGACAACAAACTGAGCACAAAAATCAGTATTAAAGAAACTAGTTTTCAATCCGGATGATTTTAAAGTGCATAGCTCCAGTGGCTTCCCTAGTATCGGATGGAAGAGCGTTCCAGACGGCCGCAGAAGTCCATCCGAAAGTGTGCGATGCAGTGACCGTCCTTGTTCGATGAAAAAAAGCCGCTGCGAGGATGACCGGAGTTTGCGCGATGATTTATGCTGCTTGATGAGATCAGCAAGGTATTGTGGTTCATTTGTGGCAGGCACTTTGTGTGTAATGAGTGCGACTTATAATGTAACTCAGCGAGCACTGGACGGACGCGGTGGGATCTGGCAGTACCCATCACGACGCGTGCTCTGCAGCTGACGTCGTAAATTTGACACCTGGACAATTTGGACAGTTACGCAGGCACACGTAGTGCCTACACGTTTTTGACTAAAGTCAGGAGATCATTAATGCCCGTTGCAAAGCAGATGGTGCTTATTAATGATTAATAATCCAGGGCTGGCTCTTTTTATTGTGTACCTGTACAAGTACTACAGTACTTGGTGTAGTGTGCACACATGAGTAAATGGGGAGACAAAGGCGGCCGGGCGGGTTGCTGGCCACTCACCCCACCCCCCCCCCCCCCTCGTGTGCCGTGCCGGTCTTCATTAGGTGCTACTCGCTAACAGCACTTGCTCCAAAAGTGTGCCCAGCCTCTCAGGGGGATCTTTGTGCTTGTGTTTGGTTTATTTTTGCGGCCTACGTGCCCGGTGCGTGTACAACGTATGCGTGTAGCCATAGGTCTGTGCCAGCGTTCACTAACAATTAAATTCGCAGACTGACTCAGCGAAAATGCTGAAGATTGTCGTCGACCAGACTGAGACCAAAATGCCGACTTAATGAACGCTGAGGCTCTGTAGGGGGCCGAATATTCTTTGGGTTGGACTCCCGACCATAAAAATGACATGGGCATTTCCTAGGGCACATTGTTAAACAATCAAAACATCCCCCGTGCAGCCTTTAACTGTTGGGTCAAGTGTTGTTAGGGAGCACTTTTGAAGGCTGGCACGGTACACGAGGGGGTGGGTGGCCAGCACCAACAACAACACCCGCCATTCGCCACGAAGTGACTTTGACGTCACCACGGCGCTTGTGCCAGGCTATGTGCACGTTGAGGCCACGTGTAGTGTCGAACGCACCCATCCAGAGCCCCCATTTGGCTGCTGTGGTGACTACAAGCGCCGTGAGGGGAATGGCTGATTTTGGAATTGACCTTCCCTCCATGGCATTGCTAACGTCCATCACAGCGTCACCATCCGGCACCACCCAGGAGGTAGGCGGTCGTTTTTGCCGCACGTGGCCAGCACCACGCCCCACAACACGCACACGCACAGATACGAACACTGGGGGTGCATGTGACCCAATCAATGTGGGGGGGGGGGGGGAGGGGGGGGGTTACGACTTTGCCCGGCCACGTCGAGACTCGCCTGGATGCCGGGCTGGAAGATGACCACGAGCGCACAGGCGGCGTACGGCAGCCAGCAGAAGAGGAACGCCACGATCATGAGCAGCACCATGACCCCGACGCGCTGCTCGGCTCGCTGCGTTCCGCTGTACTTGACCCGCGACGCCTGCCGTGGGTGGCAGGGGTGGCGGTAGCCAGCTCAATTAGAACATCCTGAACAGCGAACGCTTCCCCTAAATGTGTTTCCTACTATTATAATCATTTACGACGGTAATCGTTTCAGCGCTTTGCCAGTCCAACGCTGGATGAAGGCTTCCCCTCTGTGCCGTGACGGTCACGTGAGTGTGTTTCGGCCCAGAACCGGTTCAGATGTCACTCGCCACTGATGTTAGCCGTGGTTGGGAATCAAACTCAGGATGCCACGATACAGCAACCAACCGGAACCGGTCATGCATGGAAAGGTATTGTCAAGCAAGCCCCGAGACCAGTGAGACGTGCGAAGGCCTTCATCCAGCAGTGGATTGACAAAAGGGGCTGTGAATTAGTATCATTATTATTATCACTCCGACTGTATCATCATCACTTGTTGTACCGCAGCGTAAAGTCAAGCGGTGGTTGTCCTCTGCGTGCGCGGCTGCGGGAAGTGAGCCGTGGGCATGCGAGCAGCGCGCTGGACGGGCAGCACGCCGCTCGGCTGCCTGGCTGCCAGGGTGGGCGAGTGTCCCTCTGTGCTCAGTGGTGTCGCCCGACCCGACGTTTCGCTGGTAATTACATCCAGATATGGGGGATCTTTGTCAGTGGTGTGGCCGTGAGAGCCGCCGCAGGGGCAACCCACCGCACTCGCGGCAGTTTTATGCTCTTTTTTTTGGTCTTTTTTTTTAAAGATTCCAGATTGCGCCATCAGCATCACCGTATTTGTTTGTTGTACATACAGAGTTTGACTGATGACTTCAATCTAAATTGTCTTATGGTCGTTATTGTTTGACTTGCATCCCACTGGGATTTTTGTACACAGCGTTGATGTACGATGCTTTTTCTGGAAGACTTTGCTGATTTTTCCTGGATTTTTTCTGTTGCGCGTGGTCACTTTAAGATGTTTTCTTGTTCATGTTTTTGTTTGTTGCGGTTGCACCCGATTTAAGAGCCGCATGGCTCACGGGGCTATACCAAATAAATGAACTGAACTTATAACGTGATAATAATCCATTGAGGTATCTCGCAGAGTAGAGCAACCCTTCACGTTCGACAACAGCCCACGGAAGCGAATATCATTGCCCTCTGAGATTCCTGATTTCATAATTTCAACGCACCACACCGTACAGCATTTGCTCGCTTTCGAAGACAGAAAGTGACTGAGAGGCACGAGGAACCACCGACAAGCGCGGAAAGGCAGCCAGGCAGTGAGTTGGCACCAAATTACTCCCCCCCCCCCACCAAGCTCTGCGATCCTCTATATATACAGGTGTTATCGGCCAATTCATGAGTGTTTTACATGTGGGAGGAAACCTGAGCACCTGGAGAAAAACCACACATCCGAGGGGGCAACACTATCACCGTACAAATGGAACTGGTGGGAGTCCACATTTGCGGTACCGCCTTCACGTGGCAAGCCAGGGGTATGGTGCCTCTGTGCACACAGGAAGGAAGTTTCACAAGATTTGTGCGAGCCGACAACCCTCACTGCCTCCACAGAGCTGGGCCACGGGCCACGTGCACAGCCATCACCACCCTTCAGGTGTCGGCAGTGTCAGCTCAGCGCTCTGACCTCTGAACCGTCCAATTCAGCCACCTCCTCGTACTTTCCGGATAGCTCGGGAAGTACCAGCACTCTGCGCTGGCGACCGCTAAAATCCTAGGTTTGAATCCATCAAAGATAGCAACTACTTCTGAGATCACTTCTCGTCGTCGGAGGGCTGTTCTCTCGGTATGGATCTCGCAAGAGTATTTTGGCCCTTCACCACAATGCCGATTGCACATTTGGGATAGAACTGTAAAGAAACGAGAAAACTAGAAAAAAACGCAATAAAAATATTTTAAAAATCAAACGCAGTTGGTGGAAAAACCGTCGAAATTCACCGCGAACAAAAATGTGTACACGGATGTGTACTGTTCCGTATTCACAAACCGGGAAATGTGCCCAATTCGTGCTCAATGTGCAAGAGGGCATGTTTGTTACAGTACATTGTACATTGCAGTGCAATTTTATCGAAGCGTGGTGGCCCAGTGTATGTCACGCTCGTGTCAGAGCAACAACTTCAAGACGTAAAAGGAGGTCCCTCTTTCTTGTCTTGGGTTTGATGCTTTCAGCAGGGTCACAAATGGCCACGTGTAATTGGGAAAAGCAATCCTATCAGGCAGGCGGTAAGGGCTGACTGAATACAAAGCCAAGACGGACGCCTCTGCACGGTTGCACAAAAAGGACTGTGCACGTGTTTTTGTGTGCCGTGCCGACCTTCATAGGTGCTCGTGAACAGCACTTTCCACCACAGTCTGTTCAGGCTCTGAGGAGCGGGGGATCTTCGTGTTTGTCTGTGTGTGTGCAATGATAATTATCGACTGATCATCATTGCCCACCTTCCATTTTCATCATCCTTGCCGTCATAATCATCAAAATAATCAATTGCTTGTCATTGTTAAATAATTCGTTGAAATCGTGTATGAATACCCTGCCATCAGCATCATCGTTGTCATCGTTTCGTTATTTTTATGAACATCATCCTCATTAATCCATTGTCACCACATCGTTGTTATCATGGTCATCAACAATTGCTCATCCATTAATACATGTCGATGTAGACATCGACATCATTGTTTTCATCATAGCCAGTTAAAAGTCCCGCACTTGCATAATATTCCTGACGCGCGATAACAAAACATTTATTTTCTCAAAGTTTCTGCTTTTTTGTTGTACAATCTCCCAATTAGCTACACGGGGGGTCGTTGTCTTTATAATTGGAGTTTTAGAAACGTGCGAATTAGATAATTTGGCTGCTATGAATTTCCACGTGATAAGCCACTTCGTTCAGCTTGCCTTTGTGGCCAGGTCGCTCCTGAAAAATATCAAAATAGCTTAGTGGGCTTCAGCTGGTAAGATAAAAATAGATTAATTTTAGTTTATTTATTGATTCATTTGTTTTTTTTTGTGATTTCCTTGCCTTTCCTAGACTTTGCACTCCGATAGTTTTTTGTGTGTTGTTTGTTGTTGCGAACTTTCTAATTCGCCCCTACTGGACATCTGAATTTCTCCAGGATAAATAAATAAAGGTTCTGAATATTTGTGCGTGTGTCTGTGTGAATGTGTGTAAGCGTGACTATACATGTACGTATAGGTATGTCAGAGAGTGTGCATGTGTGTGTGATTATGTCTGTATGTACAGTGAGGGAAAAAAGTATTTGATCTCCTGCTGATTTTGTACGATTGCCCACGGACAAAGAAATGATCAGTCTATAATTTTAATGGTAGGTTTATTTGAACAGTGAGAGACAGAATAACAACAAAAAAATCCAGAAAAACGCATGTCAAAAATGTTATAAATTAATTTGCATTTTAATGAGGGAAATAAGTATTTGACCCCTCTGCAAAACATGACTTAGTACTTGGTGGCAAAACCCTTGTTGGCAATCACAGATGTCAGACGTTTCTTGTAGTTGGCCACCAGGTTTGCACACATCTCAGGAGGGATTTTGTCCCACTCCTCTTTGCAGATCTTCTCCAAGTCATTGAGGTTTCGAGGCTGACGTTTGGCAACTCGAACCTTCAGCTCCCTCCACAGATTTTCTTTGGGATTAAGGTCTGGAGACTGGCTAGGCCACTCCAGGACCTTAATGTGCTTCTTCTTGAGCCACTCCTTTGTTGCCTTGGCCGTGTGTTTTGGGTCATTGTCATACTGGAATACCCATCCACGACCCATTTTCAATGCCCTGGCTGAGGTAAGGAGGTTCTCACCCAAGATTTGACGGTAAATGGCCCCGTCCATCGTCCCTTTGATGCGGTGAAGTTGTCCTATCCCCTTAGCAGAAAAACACCCCCCAAAGCATGATGTTTCCACCTCCATGTTTGACGGTGGGGATGGTGTTCTTGGGGTCATAGGCAGCATTCCTCCTCCTCCAAACGGCGAGTTGAGTTGATGCCAAAGAGCTCCATTTTGGTCTCATCTGACCACAACACTTTCACCCAGTTGTCCTCTGAATCATTCAGATGTTCATTGGCACAATTCAGACGGGCATGTACATGTGCTTTCTTGAGCAGGGGGACCTTGTGGGCGCTGCAGGATTTCAGTCCTTCACGGCGCAGTGTTACCAATTGTTTTCTTGGTGACTATGGTTCCAGCTGCCTTGAGATCATTGACAAGATCCTCCCATGTAGTTCTGGGCTGATTCCTCACCGTTCTCATGATCATTGCAACTCCACGAGGTGAGATCTTGCATGGAGCCCCAGGTCGAGGGAGATTGACAGTTCTTTTGTGTTTCTTCCATTTGCGAATAATCGCACCAACTGTTGTCACCTTCTCACCAAGCTGCTTGGCAATGGTCTCGTAGCCCATTCCAGCCTTGTGTAGGTCTAAACTCTTTGGTTCTATTCGGTAAAGTCACGTAGGTAAAAAATAAAACAACAAAAATCACGTGACTTTACCGAATGGAACCAAAGAGTATGGATCCTTGCAGTCACGAAAGCTTCAAATTGTGGAGGTCTACAATCTTGTCCCTGACATCCTTTGAGAGCTCTTTGGTCTTGGCCATGGTGGAGAGTTTGGAATCTGATTGATTGATTGCTTCTGTGGACAGGTGCCTTTTATACAGGTAACAAGCTGAGATTAGGAGCACTCCCTTTAAGAGTGTGCTCCTAATTTCAGCTCGTTACCTGTATAAAAAACACCTGGGAGCCAGAAATCGTTCTGATTGAGATGGGATCAAATACTTATTTCCCTCATAAAAATGCAAATCAATTCATAACATTTTTGACATGCGTTTTTCTGGATTTTGTTGTTGTTATTCTGTCTCTCACTGTTCAAATGAACCTACCATTAAAATTATAGACTGATCACTTCTTTGTCCGTGGGCAAACGTACAAAATCAGCAGGGGATCAAATACTTTTTTCCCTCACTGTATGTGTGATTATGTCTGTATGTATGTTTGAGTATTGTATAGGGGAGTGGTAGTGCAAGGAACCCGACGACCCAAGTTCGATTCCCGTTCACGGTCAACACCAGTGACGATTATCTGAAATGCTCTTGGGCCTCCCGTGAGTCGACTCAGCCTCAAATGAGGTTAAGGCTGTATAGGGGATTTTGACTTAATACTTTCGTGACTGCAATAATTCAAATTCTTTGGTTCTTTCGATCGCACCACAAGCGGCCGTCATCACGTGTAGCGATCGAAACGTCGTGATATTTTTTATTCACTTTAGTTTTATTTATTTTTTCTATCTTCGTGACTTTACTGAAAGGACCAAAGAATACGCACGGGGGATCTCAGTGCGGGGAACTCTCCGCACCCACCCTGTGGAGGCTGAGCAGGAGGCTCCCGTAGCAGAAGACGATGAAGAGGAGCGGCAGCACGAAGCAGAAGAGCAGGAAGGAGAGGATGTAGGACCGGCCTAGCGGAGAGCGCTCCGGCCAGTCCGGGGCGCACGACGTGCCCAGCTGCCACACACACAGCGCTGACCACTACACTACCGCTTCTCTCTCACACACACAGCGCGCTGACTACTACACTACCGCGTCTCTCTCTCACACACAGCGCGCTGACTACTACACTACCGCTTCTCTCTCACACACACAGCACTGACTACTACACTACCGCTTCTCTCACACACAGCGCTGACCACTACACTACCGCTTCTCTCACACACAGCGCTGACCACTACACTACAGCTTCTGTCACACACAGCGCTGACTACTACACTACCGCTTCTCTCTCACACACACAGCACTGACTACTACACTACCGCTTCTCTCACACACAGCGCTGACCACTACACTACCGCGTCTCTCTCTCACACACAGCGCGCTGACCACTACACTACCGCTCCTCTCTCACACACAGCGCTGACCACTACACTACCGCTCCTCTCTCACACACAGCGCTGACCACTACACTACCGCTTCTCTCTCACATACACAGCGCTGACTACTACGCTACCGCTTCTCTCTCACACACACCACACACACACACCACACACACCACACTCGCTTCACTGACGAATAAACAGAATTCCCATCACTGACACCGCCAACGAATTGGATTGACACTTGAAGCTGTGCGGTGGTGGAGGCTGGGGGGTGGGGGAAGGGGGGGTGGAGGCTGGGGGGTGGGGGCAGGGGGGGTGGAGGCTGGGGGGTGGGGGCAGGGGGGGTGGAGGCTGGGGGGTGGAGGCTGGGGGGTGGGGGCAGGGGGGGTGAAGGCTTGGGGGGTGGAGGCTGTGGGGGGTGGGGGCAGGGGGGGTGGAGGCTGGAGGGTGGGGGCAGGGGGGGTGGAGGCTGGGGGGTGGAGGCTGGGGGGTGGAGGCTGTGGGGGGTGGGGGCAGGGGGGGTGGAGGCTGGGGGGTGGGGGCAGGGGGGGGTGGAGGCTGGGGGGGTGGGGGCAGGGGGGGGTGGAGCCTGGGGAGTGGGGGCAGGGGGGGTGTGGAGGCTTGGGGGGTAGTGTCACACAGGGGCGGGGGGGGGGTCTCTCACCCCCTCCGGGCCGTAGCGGCCCCAGCCCAGCAGTGGCGGCGTGGACCAGGCGAGGGCCCAGAGCCAGGCGGCCCCCAGGGCCAGCAGCGCGTGACTCCCCCTGAAGCGCAAGGAGCTGATCGGACAGCACACCATGACGAAGCGTTCCGCCGCCAGCACGCAGATCGAGTTGAGACCTGCGAGGCCTGGGGGAGGGGGTTGGGGGGACAAACACGGGGGGGAGGGATTGGGGGGCGGGGCACGCACTAAATTCACCGTCTCTCAATCTTGATCTGAAGCTTTCGTGACTGCAGGAATCCATTATCTTTGGTTCTTTCGTTCAAGTCACGTAGGTAGAAAAATAACCCTCTCTCGTTGGGGGTCGGCTGGGGTCAATAGACAAAAGCGAAGCGCGGAACGACCAGCGGACGGCGCAATCATCGCCAGATTCACTAACACAAAGGAGCAGGAGGCAGCAGCAGCAGCAGCTGCATCATCATCCCGGCAGCGAATACTCCACTTACTCCGCTCCTACTCCACACGCAATTACCTGGTCCCCCTTTAACCACGTCGATGTTAAATTGTAGTTAATGCCCCAGCGTGAACAATCAGCCATGCAGCAGCAGCAGGAGAAGGATCTGTTACTCGGCGTTCCGTTTGTAGGATTAACTTTTAAGAATTTGCATTTGCCGTGGAGGGCCGTCTGCTTAAATGCGGTTGTATGACAACCTCATCTCAATCCAGCCTGGTGGGAGCCCCCTGTAGCGGCTCGCTCAAGGGCGCTGTTGCTTGGTGGTGGGTTTCACCAATGAAGTAACACCTGGGGTCTTATCTCTATGTCAAGGTGTTGCTGCGTTAGACACTTTTCAGTGCGCAGAAGCACTCGGCTACAAACCGCCTGGGTTTGATTCCCGGCCATGGCCAATATCGGCGGTGTGTTAAGTCTGGACCGGTACCGGGCCCCCTGTAGGCCTTAAATGGGTAACCTTGTGCAATGTTTTATAAGTCAGAGTTGTTTCTCCTTAAGAGGCGCTGCGCTGAGGTGTGTTCATTGTTTTCCCAGCAGTGTCCTAAATAAAGCTGCGTGTTGTATGTTTGTTTTTCAACCTCGCTGTGGAGAATATTAATGGGTAAATAAAGAACGCCTCCTTCCCATATTTGTCTCTCCAGATAAAAAAAGTTAAATCACACGGGATAATGTCAAGAAGTGCACGCTCCGACCACCTGTTTGTCAGCAAGTGCACGCTGTGTCAGCAAGTGCACGCAAGCGCGTGCACTTGCTGACATTTTACCGGTGCTTGATCGTTCGACAAGTCGGACTTGTACGCGTGTGTGTGTGGTGTGTGTGTGGTGTGTGTGTGGTGCATGTGTGTGTCGTGCGTGTGTGTGTGGTGCGTGTGTGTGGTGCATGTGTGTATGGTGTGTGTGTGTGTGGTTCGTGTGTGTGTGTGGTGCGTGTGTGTGGTGCATGTGTGTGTGGTGCATGTGTGTGTGTGGTGCGTGTGTGTATGTTGTGCATGTGTGTGTGTGGTGTGTGTGGTGCATGTGTGTGTGTGGTGTGTGTGGTGCGTGTGTGTGGTGCTTGTGTGTGTGTGGTGCATGTGTGTGTGTGGTGCGTGCGCGTGTGTGGTGCATGTGTGTGTGTGGTGCGTGCGTGTGTGTGGTGCATGTGTGTGGTGCATGTGTGTGTGTGGTGTGTGTGTGGTGCTTGTGTGTGTGGTGTGTGTGTGTGGTGCATGTGTGTGGTGTGTGTGTGTGGTGCATGTGTGTGTGTGGTGTGTGTGTGGTGCTTGTGTGTGGTGTGTGTGGTGTGTGTGTAGTGTGTGGTGTGTGTGGTACATGTGTGTGTGTGGTGCGTGTGTGTGTGTGGTGCATGTGTGTGTGTGTGGGTTGTAGTAGACAGGACGTGGGAGACGTGTTCCCAAGAAGGCCGTGAAAACAAACGTCGACTCGCCCGCTCGCTCGCTCGGAGGCCGCATGTGGGAGGAGAGCCTCTCTCATTTCTGGGAAGAGAATTCCTGCTTTTTAATCACACACACACCACACATACACGCACCTTACACACATGCACCACACACACATGCACCACACACACACAAGCACCACACACACACATGCACCACACACACATGCACCACACACACACATGCACCACACACACACAAGCACCACACACGCACCACACACACACATGCACCACACACACACGCACCACACACACGCACCACACACACACACACCACACACACACGCACCACACACACATGCACCACACACGCGTACAAGTCCGACACTGCCAACTCGGACTCGTCGAACGATCAAGCGCGGGTATAATGTCAACAAGTGCACGCGCTTGCGTGCACTTGTTGACACAGCGTGCGCTTTCTGACAAACAGGTGGTCGGAGCGTGCACTGCTTGACATTATCCCTAAATCACATTGTTACACACAACCCATCAACCACACGGCCTTCTGAGAGTGCATCTAATCGGCAGCATTGATTGGTTCAATAGCAGCAAAAGTTTGATTCTGCTGATGAGACACTGAATGTCGAAGCCGGTCCAGAATGTGTATGTGTGTTGAACCAATGCTACTGATGAGCTGCATTCCCTGAAGGCCACGTGGCTGATGGATTGTGTATATAATTAGTTTTTATTCCAAAAATATCTATTTATGTGGTGAGAGAAATATGGAAAGCAGCAGTTATTTACATATTTTTAAATACACACGTCCTACATATGTTACACGTCCTACATATGTTACACGTCCTACATATGTTTGGAGTGGTGGAGCAGTGGTTAGCGCACCGCACTATGAACCCAAATGACGGATGTCAATTTTCCCAGACGGGCTTTGGGACCAACCCGCATGACTAGCGTGGTGAAGTATGGTCAAACAAACCTCCACGACTTGCACAGAATGGGGAGGCTCTCATCCAGCAGTGGATTGACAAAGTGGGTGTACATTTTTATTTTATTCTGCCAATATACATATTTACATATATAAATTACACAGCCCATTATGCTGTCTTTGTCATAGAAAATTAACCGAATCAGACGGTTGGCTGTTTGGTATCAACAGAACTAGAATTTGATGTGATTAGCCCCTCAGAGAGCTGCTAACTGCTCTCTGCCTAACCACCCCAGACCACACACGCGCATTCCGAGTAAGGCTGTACCATGCGTTGGGCCATAAACAGACACTGCATGGTCTCTCACCCTAAACGAACTCCTGGTTCAAGGGATTAACATTGCTAACATTGCTTACGATCGGCTTAAAATTGCTAACATTGCCTACGATCGGCTTAAAATTGCTACGATCAAGATTGATCAGATTGTTAACAAATTTGTTTTAATGTTTTCCTGCACATGGATTTCATGTGCAGGGAAGCAGTAAAAAACTCATAAAACAACAGTGGCTCTAAGTAATGGATACAAAATATTAGTCCATCACACTCAACAAATGTCTAAATATGAACATTATAATAAAATTGGAACGAAGTATAAACGTAATAGTATTAAATGGTCGATATGGATAGCAAGCTGAGTAATGGCCTTGCATTGGCTCACATGCCCTTGTGACTCTGGCTTTTATAGTTAAAAGTAGAGATGGGCTATTTTAAATGTTGTCCTTCCCCGCACCTAAGATTAGCACGGCTGGCTACGTACGTTGCGAACGAAGTTCAGCATACGTACAAATGATTATCTGTTCGTTTATTCAACTACTGTACTCAGACAACTTGAAGAGATTCGGAGAAAAAAAAAGATTCTCACCTCTTCTACCCACACGTGCCGCTGTACTGGAGGTTGGATTAACAGCCCCCGGGGTCACGCATCATTGGCCGTGTCACGCTGGGCGTGGCTTCTAAGGGGTTTCCTGCCTTCGGTGGCGGGATGGGCCGGGGTAGATGCTTTTGGTGGCATCCGTTTTTAAATTCCCCGAGTAATTGGACCACGGTGAAAGTTATCGATTGCAAGTTCCATCGACTTATTCGATGAATCGTACCGTCTCTATTCGTTAATACAAAGCTGTAACGATGCACCCCATAGCGACCAAAATGATTTGTTCCAATTCGGGTTCGCAAGCTAATTCAGGAATCGGTTTTGTTTTTTTTCTCTCGTCTTTGTCGTTTCACTTGTTCCCTTTTGTTTGTGCTTCTCTCTCCTTCACATCACCCTTAATGTAACATTTACACGTAATTTTTATCGCTCATATACACTGCGATTATTTCACACGTGCTCAGTTGCCAGCGCGAATAGCCGGATGAATCGATTCTGGTTAAGTGATCGATCCAAGCCTTTATCATCATTAACATCTGACCTGAACCTTGCTCGATCGGATCAACTGACGGATTCTGATCGATTCCACGAAACCGTGGATCAGAATGGCTTTGTTCGTAATTTGGTGTTCAACACAATCTGGGCCACGTGACCATATAAAGATAAAACCCAAACCAAACACCCCCGTTTCACAGCGTACTATCCCACACGCCTAACACCTTTTACCTATATAAGAGCCGCTGCCTAATTCGTTGAAAAGGTCGCTCATAAGTTAGAGTTAATTTATTAGTTGCTGACGATGCTTTACATGTTTCTATTGTAGTCAGTGCCCAGGCAATGGTGACTATGCACGTGACCTGTAATCCAGCACTGGAAGCGAGGGTTGGGTTGGTGGATCAAATAAATGTTGCGAAAATTCATTGCAGTGGGCGTAGAGGAAGCGACATACCCTTGCTTGCCAGGAGACGGCAGTAAGGCCAGTGGACTAATCGCCATCTGTTTACATCTGTACGGTGATCGAGTGTTGCTCCCTCGCATGCGTGGGGTTTTCCCCGGTTGCTCCGGTTTCCTCCAACATGCATAAACACTCGTGATTAGTTGGCTGAAAATATCTTAAAATAGAAACTCAATGTAGCAGGACCCTCCTGAAAAATACTCGTACGACTCAGTGTGACTTCCTGGATAAATACGTAAAATTATAATAATAATTATTATAATATGCAATCGAGGCTTGTTTTACAGATAAAAACAAATGTATATGGTTATGGTTGTATAAGAATGTGTAGAATTAACATTAATCTCCGAACCGAATTTACTCGAATGAGATAAGTAATCTGCATTCGATGGAAATTTTGGATGCGAGTTTCAACTAAAAATCAAGATTACAGCACCATAGAGAGGGCAAATCTAACCGTAAGACGATGGATC